TTTACGTTGTATATTTTCCTTGATTTCGTAGTCCTTGGTTAGATGTGGTGAACTTTTTTCTTGTAAAACTCACCCTTTTCGTTATATTAAATTTCTTATCAAGTTAAAAGTAAAAACTGTGCATCGGCACCATTGGCTTTTTGTGTACAAAGATCAAATTGCAGATAACTTTTATATAACAGTTTTACAGTTAATATGTTGAATATAATATGTTCAAATGAATCTCGATAATAACAAAGGCCACCTTTTACACAGAGCTACAAAATCTCTTGAAGTAACAGGAACATCGAAAAGTCTGTTTACCATACCACTAACAGATTATGTTGGAAAGAAATATCATATTTAAATCCCATCTATATTTCCCAATCTCCCAGTCTAATTTATTTCATCAGTAATTTTGAAGTTGTATCAAATTCTTCGGGGCTCCAACGCAAATTGGAAAGGGTAGGAGCCAGGAGGGACAAATTTGGGATTACGAACAAGAATTTTTCCTCGAAAAGCTCTTTTGATACGAACAAATCTAAGGGAGGGGGGAGGGGGAGGGGGGAGGGGAGGGGGAGGGAGGGTTGGGAATATTGACATTTAATTGGTTCAATGGCTTAACCGGTTGATGTTTTTTAAAAAAAAATTAAAAATGAAATGAACTTGAGCGACGTCATTATAAATATGAACTTTTAAAGATTTTTGGCTGATTTTGGTTGGGGCCCTTAGTTGTGGAACTAAGGTGCCTTTTCTGCGTTACACCAATGTATTGGTCCACTTGGCCCAAATATTATTTCGCACATTTTTGTCGCATATCATTGACATTGGTCACTCAATTTGCTGAATTTTGGTGTCTCAGCATTTGGTATTTGGTATTTGATTTTCTTGGTCTGATATATGACATGGGTCAAGTTTCGAGTAACGAATCAAAGCCTTTGGCATTTTGATTACTACCTCTCTTCTACAATTATGACCTCATATTGACAAAGCTTTTGTCACTGACTCTAAATACATGACATAGCTAGGCTATTCAATTCCTTGGCGTTATCGAGGAGCGTCATCCTGTGTCACACTGATTCATTACACGAACTTCATCCATGACCAATAAGCAACGCCCTTCTCTTCCATATAGCACAGACTAATACTTACCTAAGTTCATGCAACTCCAAGTAAAACGTCATTTAATTGTAAAATACATCGACACAGTCAGTCTACGATAGTATTAGTAATTTTAACCTCTGTGTTTTTTATATCAATATAGCCGCTTATTATTGTTTTAATACTTGCCTTCTTGTATGGACTTGTTATACTGTCATGATTTAATTTCGCTGATTTTGGTTATTTTTGTCCGGGCACACGTTTATACCAGCTTTCTGTAAGATGAGATTTCTTCAGCAGGGATAAATATTCCCTAATTAATCAACCAAACACATAAACAATCATTACAGTAAACTTTTTGCAGAATATAGGTTTCCAAGAATTGATGGGAGAACAATTAGAGACTGAAGATAAATTAATCGATAATAATAAATTTTTAAAAGATAAAAAAGAGGAATGATTGACGAAGAAAACAATTCATATAAGAGAGCAATTGAGTAAGACAGACAGTTTGAAATTAACATTTAAAATAGTAACATAATAGCAGCATATACAGAGCCTAATTATTTTCTTTAAATATTCTTAATTGACACCATCATATGAAAGCAAATTGTTTTTCTTTGTATAAAATTTAAATTTCTCTAAATACTCACGTAAAGTCGAGCAAAAATTACTGATGAAAACCAGGCCTGTTTCCAATTGAAAGTTACCAATGCCAGACCTGTTTATAATTGCTCTAGTTGTTTCTTGGTCATTACATAGACAACGTTAAAGTGTCAGCTTATGCTTAAAATTGCACAAACGGTGTAAATATTGCAAATCAATGCTCGCTGATAACGTGGGAATAGTTAACATGCTGTAGCAGATCGTTGGAACGCTTTTTCGTTGAGCATATCTCTGTTTTGTGCCATATTGATAGGGGGACGTTTCGCCAGTTTTTCCAACCTCCATTAATGCCCTTCAATCTACCTGTTACACGCTATCCACAAGCATGGAATTGCTGGATTTTTCCTTGTTATTCATTGCATGTATGTTACCGTGCTTCAAATTTAAACACAATTTAAGGTAAGAATTAAAAGGCCTAGTATAATGACATGTGAGAAAAGTCACCCACAGCAAGGATCGATTACAGTAAACGGCAGGTTACGGCAAGGGAACGGTTATGCCAAGTGGCAGGTTACAAAAAGGCACAAGTTATGTCATGGACCAAGGAACAACAAGGGGCAGGTTACGACAAGGCATAGGCTACAAAAAGGCACAGGTTACGCCAAGGCGCAGGTTACAACAAGGTACAAGTTATAGAAAGGCTTAGGTTACGCCAAGGGGCAGGTTACACCAAGGAACAGGTTACGAGAATGCACAGGTTACAAAATGAAACAGGTTGAGACAAGGCTAGGTTATGCCAAGGAGCATGTTACGGTTCCGCATTTAAAAGCTGTGTAATGGGTAATCTTTTAAAAGCATCCTTCTTTTGAGGAGATTAATGCAATTTATACACTGATTTCTCTTTATTTGAACCAAGGGTCAAAGTTGTCTGTTCTAGTTTCCGATTGTAGTGTTCTTTTTTTATAAAGCAAGCTTATTACATAAATATCAGTGTAGTTCGCTAAATTTTTTTGTTGTATAAGCAGAAAAACTGACTTTGAGTTATCGATAGGCTATTGCCTACAAATTTTCGACTGTATTTTCTATCAATGCAAGTAATCACTATGTTTCGCTGTATGGTAAATGCATTATAGACCAACAAATGCCTCTACAGAGAAAATATCTTGGTATAGAAATTTGCCTATAGGCAAAAAAACATAGAATGGCAAGATAATAGGTTGCAACAGCATATAAGAATCGAATAAACAATTTAGTTTAAAATCTTTGTCAGAATAAGGTTTAATAGCATCGCCAATTTGATCAAAAGCAACAGTTTATGATCAGCAACAGCATTAGGGTTCAGAAAAGTTCAATTTTTTTCCAGATACTGTTAAAAGTTACTTGTGAAGAACTCTAGAATAATTGGAGAGTAGCTCAATTAGCAGATTCGTGTTAACATTCATTAATTACTAAGGATATAACATACGGTATATACTGATTTAGCTCTTAAAATATTCTCAGAATAGCATCGAGAAAAGGATTAAAAGGGGTGATTCTCTTGGAATTTGCAATGCCATTTAATAGCGCGTGAGCCATCACTTTTTACTTGTTGACTGATGAATTTGACACTATTAAGTGCTTAATGACTTTATTGGACAATGTTTGACTTATAAAAAGCTATCTTTCAGAATTATAGCAGATAATGATTATACATAGCACCTTAAGGAATCATTTAGGGACTACGATAACAAATTGGAGTCCCTCAATGAACCACTCTTTGGCTTCTGCTGTTTAATGCATTTGAAATGACATTTCCGTATTTGTTAAAGGCACAGAAATTCACAAACACGTTTTTGGTGTCCTTAAATTTGAAAATAATGCTAAAACATAGCATATTGATTTTGACACTTGATGACCGACCATTCAACATGCCCTTCCCGAATCCTTAAATCAAATTCTAATTTTATCTTGCATGAAAGGTTCGGAATATCAAAGTCTTGTCTTTGCTCGGTCTTTTTTAGAAAGGGCAATTTTTGGGCAATACATAACGCGAAAATAGTAAAATAATCCTAATTGCAGCAGAAACTACACTCTCCTCTCAAAAGTGTTCGAACGGATTTAATAGGTTAGCACGGTGCTACTTTTTGATCTGTCTGCTTTCGACATTTTCTCCTATAAACCCCTTTTTACATAACTTGCAAACACTATGGGTTATAGACTTTGTGTAGCCCACTTGTTTTTAGAATTGATAATATGAATGACCAGGTTGAATACTTACATGTTTTTTGTTTATTTCCTTTTTTCGCGACGATATTGTTTTATTTTCTCGCCAAAATTTAATTATACAGTTTTTACTTGCATTACCTAAGTAAAAATTAGACCAATAGTTGTAACCTATAGTTCTAATATTTGTGGAAGAGGGGTGCAGAAAATGAACATAATTTAATGAAATTTTTGGCTGAAAAGGTTCTTTAAGCCACTTCAGTGGTGTAATGATGACGTCACAATATTTGCGATACTGCTAACCTATGTCCGGAGCATCCGGAGTAAGTGTCCGGCAACGAAAAGATATGCCTTTCATGGACACGTGCACTAGTTCTTCATTTCAGTGTGACCACTGTAACTACTAAGGCGGGAATGACAGAACTGACTACAGACTTTGGCATTTTAGTACGAGCAGTGGTCTGATTGCTGTCCAACCTGTTAACAAGTCCCCTCCAACAAATCTGTCTCCATCGCGAATGATTTACTAAATAGTTAGTGTAGTGTATTAGGCATAAACCATTTTATACTAGCCTCGGATTAGAGTTGGGTAAAGACATTAGGTCAGGATCGGAGTGAAAACATGGCGTCTTGTCTCGTGTGCTCTCTAGGTCTAGCGTTAGGACGCAGCGGATCTTAGGCATCGCGCGCGCATACACAACAGTTAATTTTCGATAAGTTAGTTAAATGTTTAGTTGAAAGTTTACTTCATATGCGTTTCACGACCTCTTTATCTTTTCTGCTAGCTGTCTTGTATTTCGTTCTATTTTTGTATGACAATACCTTTAAACGAACGGTGCCTTTCCGCCAAATATAAGACGACATCCTCCCTAAATGCTGTTTTGAATAATCTACTGAAAATTGACCATTTAATTTCTTTTAGAAATGTTATATAAGTGGTTCTGGGGGTCCATCTCTACTATTAGCACCTTAGTTTCATATATGACCATGACAACAAACCAAAACTCAGATTTTGGGATAGTTGGAGGGTCATGGTAGCCAACCTTCTGATAGAAGATGGTACCTGATGATGATATAGTTGTGAGTTGATTTTCAAAGTAAAGAGTGTGGCAAAACCAAAACGTTTAATCATTTTTGCATGTAGATCTTTTTAAAACAGTCTTACGATTTTGAACTTCAAAGAAATTAACCCAAGAAAAAGACTACAAAGATATGTTGCACTTACTAATAATTTTGACGAAAGAATAAAATTTCTTCCTGTTTTACAAATTTTTTGTATAATCAAGTCATCATTATCAATTTCTTCTCCAACAGGCATATGATGCTGAAGATGACGTCACAGTCTTTGGACAAAAGAATCACTGCAATGCATTTAAACACGTTAATTTGATAATTCGCCGTGAAAATATAACGGAGAGAGGCCTTACATCCAAATAACAGGTGTGTTAGCAAATAATTTTAGTTTTTGAAAATATAAATTTAATCGTTTTTTGGCAAATCAATCTTACAATGCTAAAGCCTGAAACTTAAATTAGGAATGAAGGTCTAGAAAAGACGATAGTCAGTTTACATCCGATCAGCCAACACTGTTAAAGGTAAGAGACTTTAAAGAAATGTTTCTAAACTTGTTTTAGATATCATTGATTTAGATATGAAACCTTAAACTTGATTCGCAAGTGAGCTCATAAAAGGTCACCAGCAGAGAGTGTAAAACTGTACCGGAGAAAGGAATTCAGAAACTCTGAAACCCTACAGTGGGTCCTATGCTTTCAGAGAAAAAAAATCAAATTCGCTGCAAGTCATTAAAGCAAAGCAACATTTCTCTTAAGCGACATCATTTTTGACAACAAGACATTGACAACAGGGCTATTTTCACTTACCAGTGGGTAATCAGCCTAATCCATCTCATTGGTGTGTATAGATTGTTTCTTTCGTTAACTTTTAAGTAGCGGATGGACAGACCAGAGCAGACGTACATCGGAATTTCGAAATCGACGCTATAAACGAAAATCGAAGCATCACAACAACCTTTGTGCTAGCAGCGTTGAATTATCAAATAGAGTAGCACAAAGCAATGTACATATTGATATGCTGGTTTTCTCTATGTTAGTCGGATATGGTTTTCAAATACTCGAGGTGTTATTACAATCAGCGTTCACGATTCCAGTATTGCTAGGGTACTATCGGTAGCACGGTACATATGGATGAAAACATTTCAATTCATTTGTGATTTGTGCTAATAGATGTAACGATTGAACGGGATTCAAATGTTTTCGTTGGGTGTGCAGCAGGCACACAAGCTTCACGTAATTTGACATTTTACGGTGTATTGCTAACAGGAGCATATATAAGGAACAAGTTAAAGACATTATATCCGGTGTTACCGGGAAAAGGTTTAATTAAATTACCTGATAGGGCCAATCTCCTGCCTCGCTGAAGTTCCCGGACCAGGCAGGATGATCTATGATTAAAACCATACAATTTAATGAATAGTATCATAACAATAAAACATGCGCGATAAACCCAATGCAATATAGAAGCTGAGTAATGCGAGAGGGGTGTTTTAGCTATCCGTGTAAAATATATCCAAACTTGGCTGACATATGGCAAGAGGAGCACAGAGTCCTGCCATATCTACTACTTCTGCTCATTTCTTCAGAACCCAGTCACAGCAACTGAAATCTTTTTGAAATTCTCTTTCTTCTGCTCTTCTGCTCTTACAAATCTCAGCCGATTCGTAATGAATACAGTTTTCTTCATATCTAGAGGTATTCGACTGTGTTCTTTCAGATAATATGGTTCAAGCCACGAAGACTTGAAGTAGACTCTTACTAAATCATCATTTAACGACTTTTTATTGTTTGTGTATTAAGGAAAAGGCAGTATGAAATAAAATGTATCGCACTCTCTTCTGTATTCCTGCCCTTTTTCTTATCCCAACCTTCAAATAATACTGATTTTTTTCTCAACTTGAGTAAAAGGGAGAAAAAATACAGGGAAAAGCACCTAAATGCTTTTTTTAAATTTCATTACATTTTAATAAATTTTTAAGATATCCTTTATCCATTCTAACTTGAAAATCCTCAACATTCCGTTGTTCAGGCCTGTGTTCAGGAAAATCAAAATCCACTTTCTAAAAGAACTTCGAAAAAATATTCCTTTCTCTTCAGTATCTCTCCTCCCCTAAAATCCCGTCAAAAAATTTAAAGGTTAAGTCACTAACCTCAAACTGAAATACACGAGAGAATACGATACATATAGACGTTATATTGGTATAGGGAATCTCTTTCATGCCTTACAAATGCTGACATCTCCTGGGAAACTATAGTGCATGGAATAACGATACTTCTAGCTTTGAATCAGAAGGCATTCCCTAAAAAGGTTTCAGCAATATTGTAACTTCACAATTGGTCATCATTGCTAAAAATGTTTGCGTTAAAACAAGTTTTGGCTAAAACAAGAAAATCAATAAGAAAAGAGCACTAACTGGCTGCTCGAAAAAATAAAACCTTATTTGTGTAGTTACCTTAAATTTAGCAAAATGTTCCCTGCCACCTAGCATTTTCTTAATTCCCCATATTATACATTTTTCATTTGCTTTAAACTGTGCAGTCTTTGATCCTGTCGTGACTTCGTGTGATGTGCTATAAAAAAGAACTTTCGTGACACTATTCTCAACTAGCTAAGAATGAATATGCTGCTACAGCTAAGCCTTTATAGTAAGCGAAACTTCCTTTTCATTAATACAGCGGCTTGGTCAGGTCATTGTGATGCTTGTATCAACTAAGCAGGTCATTACACAGCTTGGTTGATACACTTGGACCAAAATCTTTAAAATATTTTCAGTAAATTGTGCGACACAAAAATATAGAAAAATCTGTATAAAAGTAAAGTTTTTCTATCTTGTTTATTTTGTCAAATAAACAGCACTAAAATGACGAGGTTATTTGTTGCATGATCGCTACTTGCTAATGATACGCAAATAAGAACTTGCTACAAGTTTCATACTAAATTGTTTCTAATAAGGAGGCGATCTTAATCCGAAATTTCAGCTTGTAAGGTTTTTATTACATTAGGTTACTATATGCAGGTATGAAGGGTGTAGATACTATGTGGGGGATGCCTGTGCAAGTCTGCGTTGTGTCTGTGTGTTTTCTGTACTGCAGTTGCTGCCTATCCAGCCTGTTGCGACGGTGGCGGTAGCTATGGTGGCGGTAGCTATGGTGGCGGTAGCTATGGTGGCGGTAGCTATGGTGGCGGTTCTCACCTCTCACTTCCAGCTTGTTTCAGTGCGGACAACTGCAACGGGTCTAGGTCCTGTGTATTCAGGGCCGAAAAGCAAAATTTAGTACCCTGGTCTGCTCTACATCAAGCCAACTTCACCTCCTTGTGGTGTAGCCTGGGACCTCTGGTTGTTTAACTGGAGCTAACGAGGCTCTTGCGAGGTAGACTTGTGGCTACCTAGGATAGCCCTGCAAGCCCCCCGGCTCTCTAGGTTAGCCCTGCAAGCCCCCCGGCGGGTGGATACGCCCTGGCGGTAAACTACCCACAAGAAATGGTACCTTGCAGGATTGCCTATTTAGAACAAGGTTAGGCCCACCGCTTGTAACTGTGGTGGACGTCAGGAAGACCATCCGTTCGGAAAACTCTGCTACAATTACTATTATGCCGAGATTTACCATAGAGCTAAGGCGCACCCCAGAAGCGACGTGCGTCAACATCCCCTGGTTGACCCCAGAAATGGACAAGGGGTACCGTGGAATCTGCGACCAGGGTTAAAGAAGCAAGTGGAACTGAAAGTTGGAACCTGGAATGTTGGCTCAATGACAGGAAGGGGAAGAGAATTGGTTGAAGAGAAAGATCAAGATTGTATGTGTACAGGAAACCATATGGAATGGAAAAGGTGCTCGAGAGTTGGGCGAAGGCTTCAAGATCTTCTACAGAGGAGAAAAGAATACAAGATATGGAGTAGAATTCATCATTGATCCAGCGTTGAAAGATAAAGTAGATTGGGTGAAAAGACCTTCTGAAAGATTAATCAGGGTGAAAGTTATGGGATTGACAATATCTCTAGTTACTTTTTGCCCTTTATTGGGAACTCTCTGGCTTTTCTGTTTAACACATCCATTGAAACTAGCCAGTTCTCAGATGCATGGAAAGTAGCAAGAATTACTCCGATTTTCAAAGATAGAGATAAGACCGAAAAATCTAATTATCTTCCCATATCAGTCTTGCCTGTCATCTCAAAGCTCTTTGAAAAGCTTGTTTTTAACCAGCTGTACCAGTAAACGAAAAAAAGTGCATCTGACTTTTTTTACATCTGACCAATCAGGTTTTGTGCGGCTACATTGCACACTAACTCGTTTGCTTAAAATGTGTGCTGACTGGTACAACGGGCTCGATCTCGGTAAGCTTTTGGGTTTGGTATTTATTGATTTGAAAAAGGCATTTAATACGGTCGACCATGATATTCTCTGTAAAAAGCTGAAACTTTATGGCGTTCACCAGTGAGAGCTGTCTAGGTTTAGGTCCTACTTATCCAAACGCAAAGAATTCTGTAGGGTTGATGGTGTTGATTCAAATGTCAGGGAAATAGAAGTGGGGCTCCCACAGGGTTCATCCCTTGGCCCTCTTCTATTCATCATCTATATCAATGATCTTCCACAGGCCATCCAAGATTCCTCTGTGACTATGTATGCTGATGATACCAGTCTTTGTGATCAGTCTCATGATTTGACTCAGCTGAATGAGGCTATAAATAGCTATCTCGAGAAATTGGAGACTTGGTTGTGAGGAAGCTTTCATTGAATGTGGCAAAAACTCATTCAATACTCATATCCATCAGCCAGAAAGGCAGCTCTTTTAGAAGTCGAAATGAAGCCTTGGAACTGAAGATACGCGACAATGTGCTGGAAGTAGTTCAAAAGACAAAGTACCTTGGAGTGCAAATCGATTGCTCATTAGATTAGAAAGAGCAAATCAAGGCAGTCTCCACTCTCCAGGGCGATCGGCTAGATCCTTTCTGCCTATGGCAAGTTCAAAAGCTCTTTACATTTGTATTGTAGAGTCCCTTTTTCGATACTGCTGTTCTGTCTGTGGTTGTGCTGGGTCTATAGACATCGACCAGTTACAAAAACTTCAAAATCGTGCTGCTAGGATCAAAACAAATAGCAGCTTTGATACCCTAGCAGATCACTTATTGCAGAGTTGGGCTGGAAGACCATTGAAGAGCTTATTGGCAATGAGACTAAAACAATGCTCTTCAAGTCGCTCTATCTATCAATTGGTTTCTATTGGAGGGCCCCTTGAAAAACAACTTCTGTTGAAAGGCAACCCTCCCTAAACAAATAAAATATGAATAAATACAATATATGAAATATGAAATATGGAATGTCATATCAACATGCGCACCTAAACCGGAATGGACGTGGCAGAAAAAGTAAGGTTTCATGAGCAAATTGAAGATCTTGTCAGCGAGACACCGAATGAGAAGATAATAATTGATGCTGACATAAACGGACATGTTGGTAGCGAGACTGGATCATTCAGAGAGATCCATGGAGGAAAAGGTTTCGGAAATAGAAACGAAGGTGGAACATCTCATTACGTATAAATATGGAGGTAATGAAACCCAAATGGACAACATCATGTTGAGAAAAACAGACTTAAGGATGGTGAAGGATTGCAAAATAAGCCCAGGAGAAGAAGTAGTTACGTAACTTAGACACCTATTCACAACATTGATGTTAGACGAGAAAGTAGCTAAGAAAAGAAAGCTGAAACCCAAAATCAAACTATCGAAACTAGGAGAGGTAGCTCAAGAATACAAACAAGAAGTATTAGCAAACTTCAGAGAGGAGAGAGATGTAGACGAAACTTGGAAGAATATGAAAAATACAAGTTGAATAAATATTGTGCTTGCTCCTACCTCAGTGTTGATCTTGGTACTGGTAGGCGAACTATAACATTAGCAACTGAACTGCAAGGAAAAATTATAATCGTCATGTGATCAAAGAGTTTCATAGAGAGTGAAATGTAGAAAGGGACGTTTAAATTAAACATGGACTTTAGTTAAAGGCATTATATCCCGACGCATTTCGCTGGCCATTTAAATTCTCATTGGTTAGACAATACAATAGACCTATTGTGACGGAGCCAATCGGCTATCTTCAATGCCGCAAAGACTATTGCTAACTCTGAATGGTTGACTGACGGGATATAGTTTAGTTTTAGATTAAATAAATTCGGTTTTAGAAGACAGACGAAGCTTAAGAAGTCTAATCTACATGTTTAGAACCCATTATCGTCTAATGCCCGCGCAAACATTCTAAAACATTCAATTATTTGTTTCGAAAGGAAAGACGCTTTTGTCTTGAATATAAAAATCATCACACGCTTTTGAATATTATGTAAATGGTTCAAATGTGAAAAGTAATAAGTTTAACAATAATATTTATTTAATACAAATGTACGCGAATTGGTGTGTAGAACATGACGGTTCTAAGCTTAAATTTTAATTTCACGATTAATATTATCACTAACCAGCAGAAGCATCGAACGGAAATATATGAAATATTATAGTGCTAGATATGAATATCATATAAACCACATTGTGTACAGAACAGGACGGTTCTTAGTTGCTTCTCCGAGTTTCATGCTTGTACAGCTCTGCCTATACGGTATACGGCAGCGAGCACTTTATGACAGACCAGTACACTTACACAGTAGTTTTATATAGAATAATATAAAAAAACTTTAAGGCGCTTGTAACAAGCAAAATTTTAGGTTTCCTATATTGTTGATAACCACTTACTTTGATGTTGGAAGTTCACAACAGAGTTTGAGCTGGACATTGATTGACCTGGGTAGAATAATGATGTAATTGAAAGTGTTGAAAGGAAAGCTGGTAACTCCTTTTGATCTATCTAACCTTGTTAAAGTTAAGTGTTCTATATGATCATTGTATGCGATAGATCCCGTTCCCTTCGATAAAGATCTCAATTATCGTCATCTTTATTGTAAATATAATCTAGTCAAATAATAATAGTTTTTTGTTTTAGTATTCAATATAATTTATTTCATATCGATTCATTTTAGAAATAGTGAATCTAAATTGACCGCTTAAGGACATCAAGAATATATCACACACACACACACTGTTTCGTGTAGCTTACAAAGTTGTCTAATTCATATTTATAAAACAATTCGCTTGTTTATAACAAAATTGGCATAGTGCAGATTGTCGATGATTTCCGAAAGTTTTGCATAATAATCAGATATGTCAACTCCTCATGTCAATAATCAGACTGCGCATGTTCTCAGTGCTACATAGATCCATGCACAAATGCACTTGAGTCAACCCAGGGACTATTCAAAACATTCTTTACAGTGAAGAATTTCAACATTCTGATTTGAAGATGATAAAACTACTTATTTAAACAAAAACTATAACTTCTGATCAGAAACTAGAGGTAAGGTAAAAGCCTAGGAAAATCATAATTGAAATACGATAGTTATCGTAACTGCAACAGGTTGCCTTGAAAATGAAAAAGCATAAATGAAAAATCATCACCGACACCGAACAAAGTTGAATGCTCGATCATACAGGTTACTACTTACTTGCCATCTTCAGCTTCATCTATATAGGGGTATAAACGAAACGGCAACGGCTTTGGAAAATTGCCAGTTATTCGATAACTCATGGCATTGAACTGCAAAGACAAAACATGTCAGGGATCAACGTCAGATTAATCTTCGTCAAGAATAAAATTATGATTGCTTGAATAATAATGAGTTCTTTAAAACTGACGGACTCTGATTACATATTTTGATAAACGTCAAATATGTTGATCATTTAACTTCGCCATCATTGCTTGCAATTCTTACACGTGTGATTTCCCCACTACAACAACATAAATTCTCCACATAATTGGTCTAGGCCTTATCGAAAATGTAGGGTTGACGATAAAACATACTCAAGTTTTATTATTATTATTTTTATTATTATTATTATTATCGATTTATTTAAAGTTGGCTTTATAATTTAAATAGCTAGAATAACAGCCAATTAAGGCCAACTAGAACTAAAAGAAAATACATTATAATTCACAAAGAAAAACAATACCCAGAAATGACAAAATTAATTAATCTAAAAACTATAAATCTTTGATAAAATTTTACACAATCTGCAGGTGCATTAATCGCAATTCCACTGTTTTATTTTTCTTTTAAATTCTTGTCTCTGGTAAATATTGGTAGCAAAGATTGTTTTTAATTTGCATTCGTGCATGCAAAAAGTATACAAATGCAAAAACTGTCAAAGACAGATTGTTTTAAGACGATTTAATTTAATATTTCTATGAATCAACATTAATTACTTTCTTATACCTCACCATCCGGTGGATCAATGTTTAACTGGCGATTTTTCTCCAGCATATCTGCATCAACTTTTTCATGTAGACTGTAATCATCAAATACTATGCTTCTATGCGATCCTGCAACTGAATTTTACAAACTGTTAAAAGCACACTTCATTTAAGAAGAGCTATTAAGTTTGGAGATTGCGGGGTCTTTTATATAAGACGTGTTGACCACAACAAATAGAATGTCAACTTTAAGCTGACCATGATGTTAAAATGGAAGTATAGAAATATGAAATCTAGTGCAATAATGAATGCTTGGTAAACAAAGAAATAGCTTAGTGCATGGAAAAATGATTGAGAAAAAGAAGCATTGAGTTTATGAATCAAAAGTTTTAATAAAAACAGAAAAAATCAACAGAATTGTTTATGAGTATGCATTACAATAGCAGGCAAATGACATATAAAGGTATCAAAAATTTGTTTCGGAAAAAACAAACATTCAAGCTTTTGGTCTAAAGTTCCAATTATGTCGTGAAATATTTGCTTTTTTTGAAATATCATCGAATCCCTAACTTACCAGCACCTGGGTGTCCAAATACAATGTCTTCGTTTAGGCCGATGCGTATTTCTATGAAGAGATGCAGTCTTGTAAAAAACTATAAAACGAACGCAACACCAAATTTTCGTTTTACAGAAATGCATGGTAATACCAAAACGTCTTTAGAATCTGAATGTATTTTAATGGATTGTATTGGCTTCTCCAGAGATAGAAATGATTAACAATATAACTATGCTTATGAGGGATGAAAGTGATTTACCTGGATTTCCAGCCAAAAAGCTCTTCACTTGAATACAGCCGTCTATTTCCGATCTGATGAGATTCCCCTACAATTAGTAAGTTTGATTATATTGAAGATGTTTATTCTATTTGTTATTAACTACTTATTTTATACATCCTAACTACTTATTTCCTCATTTTGCTACATTCTATTGCTGGGAATCTAGCATTTAGCCAGCGTAAAGATTGTGAAATTTATGCCGGCTAAAACGTGTGTTTGCATTTCATTTCCAATTTAAGAGGAAAATGAAAACGACTGAATAACTTTCAAAATTGTTTGTTTGATCAAATTTTTTATAACATAAAGGGTCGTCAGCCAAGAGATTTCCTCCAGGCACACATTGACACTACAAATAAGGCCTGAAGCATGATTAAAAATGGCCACATAAGGAAGAATAATAGATTCTTACATCAGCTGCGAATAATACTGTGAGCCTTTCAAGGACGTCAATGAACACTTCATTCTTACGGCCTCCTTTCTATTAATGCAATAAAGTAAAGAAAACAACGATACATTAGAAAATGTCAGGTTTAGTTATTAAGCTAAAACTAGTATTTAGAATCCACACTTGAAAAGACTTTAATTTGGTGACAAACACAAAGAAATATTTGTTTTTTGAAGTTTCATATCAAAGGGTATCAAGAAAAGGTTTGTCGACAAATCCTGGAAATATTTCTTCACTTTGAAATAGAGATCAGATATTTTACCATACCTTTGTTGTCGAATGCACAGAAACATTTGAGGCATTGCTTGGTAGAGTAAGTTTGTCAGAGCCAAACTGAAAAAGAAAAGGTTTAATTATTGGTCAAGATAAGACTATTAATGGAAGGATTGTTTCAGTTATTTTACACGTATTGTTCTAAAGTCTATCGCAATACAATACAACACAATACAACACAATACAACACAATACAATACAATACAATACAATACAATACAATACAATACAATACAATACAATACCAACAAATATCAACAAATATCAACAAATATCAACAAATTTCAACAAATTTCAACAAATATCAACAAATATCAACAAATATCAAATGTTACTTGCTAAGGTGTCAAAATAATATCGGTATTAGGTAATTTTCTTCCTTGACTCTTGATGAGAAAGATAATTAATTTGATGTATGTTGTATCATGGAAACTTTCCCACATATGTGTGGCTAAAAATGGAAAAAGGCTACCTATCGGGAAAAATATCATATACAATCTTTTCTGACCGTAACAAAGGCAAAATATTTTTTTTTAATTTCAGTTAATTATAACTTCTGCTTTAAAAAATCGTTCCTCGTTATATAAGTCTGATCTATGTCAATCTTCTTTGCTTCTGCTTGCCTTTACTATCAGTTTGAAAACAGCCAGCTATAACAATGAGCTTCTGGCATAAACTCACGGTCATTTTGCTACCAACCACCAGTCCTAGAGCCTCAAACAACCAACCAATAATAGAAGTCGCACTTTGAATATAAGATTGTTGCCAAATTAATGAAGTTTTATTATTAATCAAACTCCAAAATCAATAACATGGTCAAATCTTATAATATCTGGCATTCAGAAAAGGAAAAACTACCAAGTTTGACCCAGTTGCTTGTTTGGAGGCACCTTCACTATCTTTCACCATGTGAACATCATGGAATACGAAAGATTTCAGCTGCTCAGTTGAAGTGATCTGTGGATAACCGAAGTCCTGTGAAGAATGAGCAGATTTCTCGTTGAAAACGCAAAGAGGCAATAGACTGACTTAAACGGTTAACACAGGGAAAGGACCTCAAGTGCTTAACAGGACCCAGTGCTTAACAGTGCTGAACAATGTGGTATCAAGAGTCAAATTTTGCTCATAAAGGCAGATGGGTCATTTCAGCCCTTTCTATAACGGGGATCTGAACGAGATTGGCTTGGAGTCAAGTGAAACATCTTTCGATTTCGTGACACCAGAATTTTATTGTTGTTTTTTCGAAAGAAAATTTCTCTTGCGCGATCTAAGTGCAATCAATTCCCCTTGCAATAAAATATGTTTCGCCTAGCAACTTTTTTGCGACTAAATTGTGATATTTTGAAAGAAGCAACCAAGCTCTTGAAGTCTCAAGGACCCTAAGGAAAGGAACATTATTGATACCGAGTATTAAATCGAAGATTAGCGTTGCAGTGGGGACTCCAAGCTCATTTGAGTCAAACAGAGCTGACTCTTTGAAACATGGTCTTGAACAGATTATTATTTGGTACATATAATGTTATTTGCTGAACACTTCTGATTTGAAGGACATATTTTTGATTTTTATTCGCAAATGATTGTTAGATTTAGTCAAAAACTACACACATAGGATTCCAGTCAAAAAAAATTAAACAATACAAAGCAACTATTGCCAAAATTGCATGACTCAAAGGTTGGTTTGGCTGCTTAATAAGAAAAGTAGAGTCGAGTACATTGCTAAATGTTTTTAATTATTTGTAGAAATTATCTATGTTCTTACACACAAGTTCGAAAACCTTGATCAAAAATCTAAATTGGTTGAGCAATGCATTCTGTCAGGACTAAAGTTTTAATTCCCTTCTGCAAGAAGGTTCAAAGAGACCTTCCACATTTTGTTCAAAGAAGAATTTTTTAATACTTGCAGCTGTCAGAAGAGAATTTATAAGAAAAGAGAAGAAGAGAAGAGCAACCATTGCCAAAAGTACTTAAGACACCAAGCAATTTGCGTTGTGTTTTTATATTTTTCAATTCTTTTTCCGGATACTTCTATTTCCGCACCCCTTCCCCCCCCCCCCTAAACAATGTTGATTATTTACAAAAATATCATAAAAGAACGCAAAAGAAAGTGCTTCCTAAAATCCTAACCCGTTTCATAGTAAACTAACATTATTCCGTGGGGGAGAGGGGAATGATTGGTTTTGACCTTGGAAACTGACGTCAGCGTTTCAAGACTTTTGGCAGGGATTGTACATCCATTTCCTGACAGACTTTCATTTCCACCAATACTACTTTAACTGCTAAAGGCTACTTCAACAACGAAATACGTATCTTGACAATATTAGATTTTTTAGCAAAGCGTTTTTTAAAATTTGGCATTGTCATTAACTTACCAGAACTTCATCTAATATTTCATATATTAGCGTGAAATTCCATCGAATTGATTCTTCATTAAGAACACCACAATAGTCTTTACAGATGCTTGCAATTCTGTTGGAAAGAAAGCCATTCAGCCATGAATATTCATCTTTGAGACAAAAACTGAAGAAAAACATCACTATCATGAAGATTTTATTCCTTAGCAAATCTTCATTGACAAGGATGTACGAAAGTATACTCAACCTAAAAAATGAAATTTATAGATTATAACAAAAGCTTTAAGTGCAGATAAACTAGAAATAACTATATTGTGAAAAATATAAATGCAGATGTTGAGCTAAAAAATGATGAAATTTACCTGTTCAGAAGCTCTACGACATAAGTAGGACTAACATTTGTTGTCTTCGTAGCTGCTACAAAATATAGGCCATATTTCTTCACAAAAATAAAATGTGTGCCTTCCACAGTCTGAAAGAAAAATTAATAGCAAATGAAGATACGATGGATATACCAACTAGAAGAAATAAAACTATCTAAGCGGTTATTCAGTTTTCATTTTTATTTTAAAAATTCTTTATCAAGGGTTACCATTCAGTTGAGTAACTGTTTTAACTTGAGACCTGCCACCAAAAAGTTGAAATCAGTATGTAAACACTGAATATTTTCAATTTAGGGCTTTTGCTATCGCGCCAGTTCGGTATGAGCATGGACTTTGTGTCAAATATTAGAGAATTTTTTTTTTCATTCCCAGTTCTAATTGAGGGTACTGCGAGACCGCACTTGGTGTAAGGTAAGAGCTCGTTGTAAACATCAATTTATACTGAGACAAAATCTTACAAATTGTGGTGTGTACAATCTATTCAGTCGAACTGAAAATTTTGCTAGGTGCTGCCACAGCATCTCCAGACAAAGCCACAACAATCAAATTATGGCTCCACATTGCTGAAATATATGTTTCTTAAAGGTATCTTCTTGGACAAATTGATCGCCATATTTCAAAAATCAAAAGGCTATGTGAGCTATTCTTGCGAATGAACTTTGCCTTACGTCCTTATTTCAAATTATCAACAATCACACCAAGATATTAGCTTGAGATTCAAAATCGATAAAATTTCCTGAAACTTGAAAGCATGGGACGACTTCTGATGCCTTGTTTTTATGTTCCTTGCTTTCCAGCTGAACCAATTATCATCATGACTTGTGTTTTGACGATATTTATAGAAAGCTTATTTCCTTGTAACTATTTCTCAAGTCAAGCAAGCTCGGCCTTGTTATCAGCACAAATCTCTTTAATTCTAACCAAATATAAAGATACAACAGTATAATCTGCCTACATATTTGCTTGTGTGTGTTTATATGAAACATGAATAAGATCTTTTTGGTACTGTAAAAAATATGCAGATTAACAGCAAAGAAACATCTTCTAATGGCCTCTTAGATCTGACTTTCAAATTGCAAGGAAATGTTACATTTCCATGGTAGTTTTAGATTGACCTGGCACTTTTGAGGACCAAATTTTACTTCAGCTGAAAAGCTTGCAATTTTTTCTCTAATTTAAGTAACAATGACCTCCTCTGGATAACTATTCTCCTGAAAGATATTTTTCAGTTAGTTGGGAAGACTTTTAACACAATGGGTTATTTAATTTTGTATGCTAACTGATACATTTAATACTTACAAAAACTGGGTTAGCTTCATCTTTGTTTGATGCATTCAACTTCTGGAAAAATATTTCAGCAGAGCCCTTTACAATATCTCTCCTGTCTTCGACAGTAAAGGAAATACACTTTGGTTATAAAGGTAAAAAGCTCGAGAGAAAAGAGCTACAATAGTAGTATAAACTGAGTTATTAAACAATGGCTTATTCTGTACATCCAGGTATTTCTTTAGAAATTGCAACAATAGCAACAGACAGCCAGCCTGGTTAAGGGTTTAAGTGTGCCTGCCCTTTGATCTAAATAAAAATTGGTAATGTCATAATTGCAGCCTTGTAAGGCAAACCATTGAAAGAAACCAAATGATATTGTTCAAATTACAAATCACATTCAAGAAACATACCAATGAAAGGATACAGTCCCTAAAAACTAATGTGTCCCCTCGTGAAGAGAGTATAAAAAATTGAGATAGCATGTTCAATTGGGTTAAAAAACAAAAATCATCTTTTTCAGCATTTTTATTTCTTTTATCGGGCCTAAAACAAGGAAAAACATTTATCAGTCTGCAAGTTTCGAAAAAGGATACAGCTTATATATATATATATACTATACTATGTTCATAATTTGTATGTGTATTGTTTAACATTAACTTTCCATTTGTTGTAGAAAACTGTTTTATAAAAAATCCTTTAAGAAAATAAAACTCCTTCAAATAAATTTCTCTCGGTGGATGGCATGTATCATGAAGAAAAACACGACTCCCTATAGCGTCTGTACTAGCTTTACTCACTAACTGCCGCATGAGAATGTTTCGGTGACCTTTGAAAATATCAATGCCATTTAGTAGCATTATAGCTCATCGTAGTCATCTTATTTACAAACCTTTGTCATTGATAAACTTTCACTTCCTTCTATTTCCTCTGTTATTCTAAGAAAATATCATTTTCAACGAGCCTCCTATTGGAGAAAAAGGTGGTATCCTTCAAATTAAGGAGGCACGAACACATCTCTGGATCTCACTTTTTTCTCGGAGGAGGGTACTACACCACAATTCGTTCTTTTCTGTGTGATCACTCAGTTTTTTACCAATATGAACATCCGATGTGCAACACCAGACGATCTAATGAATATGCAGCACTGTAATTTGCTATGCCTTCCAGAAAATTATCAAATGAAATACTATTTGTACCACGGACTGTCCTGGCCCCAACTTTCATATGTTGCAGAAGATCAAAACGGGAAAATTGTTGGCTATGTCCTTGCAAAGATGGAAGAAGAGTCAGATGAAATCATACATGGTCACATCACTTCTTTAGCTGTTAAGCGATCTCACAGAAGACTTGGACTTGCTAGGAAACTGATGGAGCAAGCAGCGAGAGCAATGGTTGAAAATTTTGGCGCAAAATACGTCTCCTTGCACGTGCGCAAAAGCAACAGGGCAGCATTGAAGTTATACAAGGCCTCTTTGAAATTTGACATTCATGAGATCGAGCCAAAATATTATGCTGATGGTGAAGATGCTTATGCTATGAGACGAGATCTGACAAGTTTATCCATGGAAGAAAAGGAGGCTGATGCACCAGAAATCGATGAATCAAAATTAGAAGACAAAAACTGTAAAGAAAATTTAATAGATAAAGTTGAAGACTTGCAATTAAAATAAAGCATGTGAACTATTTTATCCTGAACTTTTCTACAAGTTAGATTATATAAGCAAGATATTCCATGATGTTTCCCAGTAGATTGAAGCATCTCCTGCCTTATGCATTATGATATACACCCACATGATATCCAAATTTGACATAGCTATTGTTTCCACCTGATGTCTGATTAGAACAAGTCAACTCAGTGAATTCATATTTATTTCATTTATGCTGCTAGAACTGGCTTCCATTGACCAGTTTGTATCACGACCGACCATGATTGATTTTTAGCTCTCCAATAATAAAAGTAGAAGTGGTCGTGCCTAAGTGACACTCACCTTACGAAAAGTTTCATAGAGTATACCAAAGCTTAAAGTGGTACCAGAAATATTTATGGTAAATGTTGCTGTTTAGTTTTTCTTGTCTTTCAAAATAAGCTTTTTTCCTTGTCTTTCAAAATAAGCTTTTTTCCTTTCTTGTTGGTGTATTGAACAAGATTGCAACCCTTTTCCATTTCATGTGTGATAGGCTGCAGGGAAAACTGTTCCTTGGTAGAATTAATGATTGGTTTTTTGCATTGATTTGATACACCAATGTTTCTAGAATTTCATTGCAGCTTTGTATTCATTATTCAATGTAAATCTCACTTTTTGGCTGATATTTGGGATAAATTGGTCACTGGGACAAAATATAATTACTGGAATCTTGCATCCAACTGTCGCTAATGCTTCTGTAGCTTTATTCAGCCTGGGACTCTTTGCTTGGTGAAGCCAAAAGCAGGTTGAAAGCTAGGGTCACCAGGTATATATTATAGTTTCTTCCACTTACAACATGTGGGTACCTGTGACAGCTGTTTCACTATTGGCACATTTGAAATGTTTGGTAGTGCAAAGCATATTAGGCCTGTAATTTTTGCCATACACAAGAAAGCACACACAGATGAAATGCTACCTGATGAAAATTCTTATCAAGCGGTTATGATAGTTAACACATGATGACATTATAAAGTATTTGAGAATTTTTAACACCATTATAGTCATAGCTATACACTATGCAGTATACACAGATGACTAACTAGGGTTTTACTATAGTTGCAACTGCATGTGTGCAAGTTATCTTAAAAATTGTGTCCAGGGGGCATGTGCAACATATCTGAGGATCTAAGGGGTCTACACATTACACAAAAGTCTTGATATTGCAAGTTCATGTAAAGAATAACATTGTACTCCTTTTCACAACTGTAGTGTGCATTTTCTTGGTTTTCTTGCTTGAAGATTTGGAGTCAATGTCAAAGCTACAAGGCCTGCCAAAATTATTGGAACAGTCCCTTGATCTTTCCTACTTAACGTCTCTCCTTCCCAGTGGTGTCACCAAGGGGTGGTATGAGGGGAGGGTAATTACCCCCCCCCCCACCACTTTTGTCAAAACATGGTCTACATATTCGAAAGCACTAGGTAGGGGTAGATCATATCTCCTAAGGAAATTTGACCTGATACAAAGCACTGAAACGAGGCAAATAGGGTGTGGTCTCACAGGCAACACCCATTACCCTCCAACTCTGCAGTAGCTGGCGCCGCCACTGCCCCTCCCCATATACAATGTTGGATTCCGATTAGAACATGACAACAAATGTAGGTTGGACCGTAAATTGTGTAACCGATCTCTAGCGACATTAGACCAGACAGATATTGCGGGGAGTACCACTTTGGGGCGGGGAAATTTTGATTCCCAGTTTCGAGTTATGTATCAACTGGGGATATTGAATTGTGATGGTTTTACGCTGTTTTTTGGGGTAAAATGGGGTTGAATCAGGAGAAGTTCCTGCCTATCCTCTGCGAAGGAGAAACGTTGCTAAAACACTGATCTGAAAAAATGGGCTGGAATGAACTTTTTAACAAAATAAATCTGGTCTAAGCAGTGGAATATGAAGGATAGTTTATCTTATTTGGTAGAAATACGTTTGAAGTAGTAAATTTAGCTAGCTCTGGTAAAATAAGAAACTGGCCCCGCCCCAAAGTGGTACTGCCTTCCATTTCCGTCTGGTCTACATGTTCATCTTCCTTCCCAACATTGTTTAAAGGGGAAGGGGGATCCGTCTTTTGAAATGGGGAAATGAACTGAAAAATCTGCATCTATTACGAGTGCAATCGCGGTGTTCCAACTACTTTTGGGGCGGACATTGTAGCTCTGCCCAATGACTGGTTTCTATGTTACCAAAATACAGGCAAAGCGAATCGGCAGAAACCTCGTTTGTTTAGATGGTTGCCCAGCAGCGAATCGTGTGGCTCATTACCAGTCTTGATGGAATCACGTAATAGAATCCCGAATGAGTAATCCCAAATGGAACTTTTTCTCCGCCTCTTTCCAATTAATGGTCAATATTCAGATTTGTCTGTTTTTGCGGGAAATTTTATATTCCTCTTCTTAAGCTTATCACGAATCCAGTGCTTGTATAAATCTATCATTGTGGTTATTATGCAATAACATGCCAAATAAACTCAACCGCCATCTTGCTCAAATACACCCGATTTTATTTACTCGACAATCCATTTACATTCGATTACAACGAGTGCCGTGCTTCCGCTTCATATCTCATATTGCAAAAGACGGGGGCTATCGATTTGCACCTCGATTTGCTCCTTATGCACACTCTAGTCACGCTTCTAGTTGTTTATGTAATAAATAGGAGTTGTGGAGCTATTTTGCTTAAATTTCGAAAATTTAAACTTGATTAAATTTTTTGATCACACTGTGTACTTCTTTCTAATGAAACAATTTCGAATATAATTCTTTGAAAATTAAATTTTTATATTTTCATACAGACCCATACATTTTAATTTAAAAATTTTCCCCAAACAATTTTTGAAGGTGTTCCTGTTATTTTCACTTTTCCTTTGCGATGATTTTTTCAAGGACAAAGAAACATGAGTTACACTCCTTTTTTAAAAAAAAACAATTTTATAAGAACACGAGCCTCAAAATTGGTCAAAAGTTAAGAACAATTTAAGAACAAGCTAAGCTTCTGCAAAATGCAATTTGGAACAACGTTTTTTCTCAAAATCGAGGATTTTTAGCGATGTGTGGGTACTTTTTCGGTGAATATTCAAATTTATCAGCAAATTAAGGCTGTCTCACTCACTTTGTTGGCAAATGAGGCCTGTACACCACCCTAGAGCGAAAAAGCTAGCACCTGCACTGCTTACACCCTATCAGATTAAGAACAAATTAAGAACAATCCAGCCTAAGATTTTCGAAAAAAATTAAAAACAGTCAACCTGAACTTGAAAAAAAGTTCTTATAAAAAAGAGTGTAAGAGCGTATTTGTTTACTAAAGCGAAGCTTAGAAAAAATATTGATATATCCAGGGCTTTTTATCTGTTTCAACAAGATGATCCTTGGATTGGCGTTCTTACGAAGTAAAACCACCCATTCATATTCAAAAACATAATTTACAAAAATATTATTGATATTATTAAAGATTACTGCACATGATATTTAGGTATTAGTCTTAAAAAAGCTTGTTGACCACTGTGTGTCCTCGAAATTAACCTAGCCTATAAAAAAAATTTTCTGTTAGACAAAAGGCATTTTAAAGAAAATTTTTCGATATCCTAGTGTAATTCAAGCTTAATTTTTTTATGCCAAAAAATAATGTCATAGCGACAAAGTTTATCTTGCGTGGGCAATTGATCTCGATTGTACCATTCTCGTGAGTTGCCCCCTGATCTCAAATCACTACATTCGAATGAATGTTGAACGTTATATCATCACTTCACTTTTTAGGCAAGAGATAAGTCGCCTAATAAAAGAAACTTCTCTCGAATGAGATTTTGAGTTCTTTTTCTTAAATGTCATTTATGTATAATACTCTGGTGTGGTTATTTGTGGCGTTATGCACATGCGGACTTGCAAACAGTGGTAAGTCTAGCTCACTGGTCATCTAATTTCTCACTATTGTTTAGGCCAGCAATTCATTGTTTTGTCCATTTTCCTTGATTTTGAACCCAAAACTCATGTCTAATTATCTCAACATGCAATTCGGGTTTGAATATTTTGTTATCATTTCCTAAATTCGTCAGTCTAACTCATTTTATTCGTTAAAATCGCTTAAGTCCAATGTTATGTGAACACTCTCCAAGCTGCCTGGCATTTCCATTCATATTAAAAAAAATTCTACATAAGAAGCCATGGATTGATGAAATAAAGGTCGTGAATAAAGGTCGAAATTTAATACAAGGATGACATAATGGTCGAAATCAAATGATTTTATCAAATAAAGGAGTAGTGTTTTTCGGTAATAATTTAACTGCTAGTATTTGTTCAGTTACATTTCCTGGTAATATGATCGTTTAATGAAAATGTTGATGTCATAGGCTATATGTCAAAAAATTAAATGACAATAACAGTGATAAGGTGAACCATGCCTGTTTGATGGCAGATTAAAACAGCAATTTCGTAGATGCAATAAAAATTTAAATTGTTTAATCTTTAATCGATAGAAAATACAGGAGAGCCTATTTGATACACTGGTTTGATGAAATCTTTGTAAAAATCTTGTAAAGGAACCGACGAAATCTTTTTTGCGCCCTCATTTTCGAGCATCATGACTCAAATCTCACTTCAAGACTCATATTTCCCCCCTTTCTAGAAAGTTTCACCAAAAATTTGATTGCAATCTTTGAACATATATTTTCAACATTCATTTTTCGTTTTCAGATGTTTTTGAAATACATTCTTTTTACAATAATTCTATAAAACTTTGTCCAGTCTCGACATTCTTAAGAAATATATTCATAATTTATTCTTATTTTTTTCAAATGTGATATGGTTTCAGGGAAACACAGTGAGATTTTTCAAACGTTTTAAAAGGAAATAGTTGCCCTCGAAAAGAAACCACGCTTTTTGTCAAAACAAGTCATGCGATTCTCTCTTGTAATCATCGCAAAACAGGCAACTGTTGAAAAATAGGACAAAAAACTCGTTTTTTTAAGAAAGCAAGATCGACATTGAGCACTCCAGTTTCTTGACGCTTTAGGAAATTCCAATGCTCATTGTTTCTTAACATTTTCTTATCTGTGTTTTTTATTTTAACGCGTTCAGGGTCCTTTGTTTAATGTTTCTTGCTTGGAATTTTTCCAATTTGTTGTAAAGGGTTACACAGCTGCAAAAAGTCAATTGTCGGTGTTCGATTGCGCGGGACCTTTTTCTCAAAAGATTCACTTCTGTTGTAATACTGAACTTAGATGTGGAAAGTATATTCGCACTCGTTTTTTTAATTTATGCCAACCAGCCAATATGCCAACGGTATATTATCACAAAGTTTTTTTATTTTCTCTTTTTTTATTCTTTTTTATTTTATTGGAGGAAAGAGGGAGGGGGTTAATCAAAATTCAGAATTTCTTGATAGTTTTCATTCGAAAAGGGCAATTATGTTAGAATTGTTAGTTGCATATTTCGTTTGAATATGGAAAGTTGTTTATATATTTGAATGGAATGTTACCAAGATAGATATTATTTAATCCTGATGTCAACAATCCTAAGAATTTTTGTTTAAATTTGGAACTTGTGAGTGACTCACATCCCCGGCTATGAAAGCTTCAAAATTGAATTTTTTCGTATCCTATTTAACCTAACTTTTTTCAGAGGCAAATTTACTACAATTCATTGGGAGCTTCAACAGAAACATCTTTGTTTTTACCAAGGCTAATTTCACTATTATTGATTGGCGGTTTTAACGGAATTCTTATCATTGCCGAGGCTAACCTTACTCACGACTTTTATCCATATAGGGGCTACAGTGTGCCCGCTAGGGCTATTTAGTTAGCTGGCGTAACTAGGGCTATTTATCTTAACCAAGATATTCACTTTAAGAATTGACGCTTTCATTATCATAAAAACTAGAGTCATAACCTAATAATTGTATAAAATGTCAATAACCTCTATTTTAGCAGCTTGATTTAATACTTATTTACACTCGTAGTATTAACTCTGGTGACTAATTACTAAATTAAGTATTATCCCTGCCTTTCTCTTTCGCGTTGCATGTTCTGCAGCTTGCAAAAATCATCAATCAACAGTCCAAATCTTATAGTACTATATACTTTCGAATTTCCTTTGAGGGCGATCCGACTACAATTTGCAAATGCTCATTCTGTCTCTTTAAATAGTCCAGGGATTTCGTTTTTACCAAGTTTCCTCTAGTTTCTGGAGAATAATACTTCAAATGTTTACACTTGGAAGGCACCAACCATCATCGTCGTTGTTGAAAAATTTCACAACGTAATGCCACGGAAACTGACTTGCTGTTTTCCATTCCCTTTCAAGGTGGAATCAATGCATTACTACATATCTCCGATGGCTCATTCGAGGTTCGATCTTATCCTGTCCTTGTTTCTTGGAGGTTCGATCTTATCCTGTCCTAGTTTTTTGGAGGTTCGATCTTATCCTGTCCTTGTTTCTTGGAGGTTCGATCTTATCCTGTCCTTGTTTCTTGGAGGTTCGATCTCATCCTGTCCTTGTTTCTTGGAGGTTCGATCTTATCCTGTCCTTGTTTCTTGGAGGTTCGATCTTATCCTGTCCTTGTTTCTTGGAGGTTCGATCTTATCCTGTCCTTGTTTCTTGGAGGTTCGATCTTATCCTGTCCTTGTTTCTTGGAGGCTCAATCTTATCCTGTTCTTGTTTTTATCCTATCGTAAAGCAATGTGCAAGCACTTCTCAAAATGTAAACATTTCCCCTGTGTATTTTCAACTTCCCCTGTCTGTAACTGAAATTCAAAATGAATTACACTTTTTGTTTAGCGAAATGTTTCCATGGCAATCTGAAAGCTCGGAAAACAAGGGGATCGATCGTAAGGATGACCGATAACAGCGAAAGAAACGAAATTGCCACACCCAGTCCCCAATTTTTTTCATTGCAAATATATTTAATTTTCACAACCTAATCAATTCTTGGCGGGACTCGTTGGCAAATTTTGCCTCATTAAGAAATTTCTATTTGTCTCCTTTGGTAATCAAATGAATAACGTGTGTCACAGCTGTCCATTACTAAAAGGCAAGATAAACGAAACCGAATTCTTTGTTAATAGACAGGTTTAAGCGACGGGTTTTCGTTACTCCAAACTGTAGCAAAGCGGCTACCCAACTCAACGCCAATAATGTTGAGTACACACAACTTTGTATTTCGAGCTCTTGTCTGTAACTGAACAAATGAAAACATGGCCTGCCACCAGTATTCACATGATTGCAATTCTTGCACTTCATATATTCTTTGGGTTCAGTTCATCAACGTCTGTAAATATTTGCCAACAATGTCTCGCTACTGATTTTTTCCTTGAAGGATTCTGGCTAACTAGCTAACCAGAAGAAACATATTGCTTTATTGCTCAGCCCTTTCGGTTTAAAATTCTGCTTAGCTTCTTCCTCAGCAATGCCGTTATAAGAGGTCAATAGCAAAAGGATCGAGCCAAAACAACCGAAATTTCAAATGTTCTCGACAGTTATGTTTAGTTGATTTGCTCCTTACATCAGCAGTAAATTACTGAATGCATGCACTCCTAACACTTCTTCGTTGCCCAAATGAGCTTTAGAAGTGCATGCATTCAATAATATGTGCTACGCTCCTTCTTCGAGCAATAATTTGATATATTTAGTCCTTCTTTCAATTCCACTGTAGCCCAGCCCTTTGTGATACTACGTTTTGTTATATCCCTTTTACTGCAATCTATAATTCTTCTGATTTATTCTGTTCTAACACTTATCTAAGTTTGAAAATCAAAGGCACTATTTCCCGTCAGTCAACTGTTTAGAGTTAGGAAAAGGCTCTGCAGGGCGTTTGTTGTCGAGAAAACATTGCGATTTGGCCCTACGTTGACGATTGGATACGTAACAATAGGTCTGTTATAAAGTCTAACAAATTGAAATTTTAAATGGCCATCGAAATGCGCCGGGGACATTGAATTAAAGTCTTGTGAGTTTTATGCTATTCCTATTCGATATTTTACAAAATACACCATAACTCATCAATTCAACGGTTTTCAATTATTTCATTACTGTGCATGCGCCTATTTCTTCCAAAAGAAGACTTAGCTGTCTTCTGTCACGCATGAACGATGTCTTGCCGTTGGGTGTGCTAAAAGTTTTTGAGCTCAATGCATGGTTATCTTGATGAAAATAATTATAGATTAATATTCAACACGAGTGGGAGCGTAACTGGATTGTGAATATTTCTCAATTGTTCAATAAAGCCAATTTTTGAATTCAATAATTCTTTTAGTATTTTTTCTTTCAAAAGCCGACTGCCAAGGTCAATGATTTTCACCCTTCGATCAATGCCATTAGTCAAATTGCTGGGTCATGCTTTGCCGTAATTACCCATACTCCCATTCGATGACAGTTTAGGAGGAACGGTCGCCCAATTTCTAGGTACCAACTCACACTGAAGGTATAGCTACAATTTGATCAATGAAATATCTGCAGTAGATTATTTAATTCATGATGACCAAATGGTGTGAATTGCAAGCGAATAAATTTGCATTGGATTTCTTGTTAGGCACCCTAGAACACGGCAAATCATTAGATAATAGCACATCGTGATAATACAAACGAATGACATTAAACATGAAATTCCATGCTACATGTGTATAAATTTGACGAGTTTAAGCATTTCAAGTTCATTAATGCAATCTTTTTTTCTTTCTGTCAATAAAACTGGTTTTGTTGTGCTTCTTTTCGTTTAATATGCAATAGGAACAGACCTAAAAGACACTCTTTACTCTTATTAGATCAGCAATATGTTTTATTATCTTCAGTTTCAAAACGGATTTCTCTGAAGTAGACTTACTGCATGAGCCTCTGTTTCGCTACTGCCTCACTTGACGGACTTTACAACAGAGCCATGATGACCCTCTGTTGTGGCGTCTGTCCAAGCATGAAGTAATGCTATCAGCCTAAGATGTAGATAAAGCAAGATCTAAACTTTGCTAAAATATACTGTTGTTTTTGCTTCGTCTATAAATTTGCAGCAAGAACTAAATCACAACGAGCTGATAGAAAAATATGACTGCTCCCGTTTCGATGAATGGTGGCATATTGGTATTTGAAACTCAAGTGTCTCCAATTTTCGACTGATCATCTTACTTTCATTTTGAAAATGTTTCGAATTTTTGGTTCAGCTACTTTTTTAATTTTTATGTTTGTTTAAAAAAGCAATTTTGAAAGCCAATGTTTTAAGTATTACCCCAGCGATGAACACCTAGTTCTTTAGTTTGTGTGTGTTAAAAAGTGTTAAGTAAGGGTTGTATCTATTCTGTATTGTATTGTATAATAAAAGTATTGTTTTTATCTGTTTTGTTTCCTAAACCCATTATCTTGAGTGTTGTTTGTGATTTGATCACGACTAAACACGCATGAGTCGATGCTAAGTAACAGTCTACGTTTTATTAAACAGAGAGTATCAGAAAAGATACCTCCTTGATCTTTGACTCGCTGTCCCTAGATGAAAAAGGCTGCTAAACAAATAATTCAGCTTCTGTTTTAATAAGGACTAGACATTCAGTAGTTTCGACCTAGGTTTTGTGAAACGTACTCACATCCAAAAATCTTTGTATTGTCATACCGATTTAAACATAAATGAGTTATAGAACACTACAAAGAGACTTTTAAAAAAGTAACTTTGGAAGCTTTTTAGAAAATAACTCAGTATTTTTCAAGATGTATTTTGTTCTTGTGACTTTGTTTTACGTTAGACAACCTTTATCGCACTTAAAACACCATCCAATCGTTCAAATTTTCTCATTTCTCATTTGAAATTCTCTCTTTTCTCATGGAATTCATTTTAGCAAAGGGTTGTCATGCTCATAAGCCTTTTCTTTATATTTTTTCGTTTAGTTTATTTTTTATATACAAATGTCATACGACTAAGTTCAAATGACATTGGCTATTACTTAATGCAAAATTAACTGCATTGTTTCCTTTTTGTAGGTAATGTCTACTTTTACGAAGAGACACCATTGTATGTTTACCCAGGCCAATGTGTCAACTTTGCTGCAAGATCCCATTTCTCCTTCTTCAATGACACAACAGGGAATCTGCAGGTAACATGGAAGAAGGATACCCGTGTCTTGAACAACACAGGAAAATGGTGGGTAAAGATTTGGAGCAACAATTTTGATTAATTCTTCTTCAATTATTCTACGCTTAATTAACTTTGTTTATTAATTTTTTGAGGTGTAAAAAGCTAATTTTCTTATGCTTTTGACAATGACTCTATGAATGAACAAGTTTTGCCTCAATAGCTTGTTCCCTGATGAGGATTTTGAAGGTCTTATAAAAACTAAGATTTTGTATAGGAAGAAGTGAGATATTGATTGCAAATGGATTTGTCAGTCAATTTTTAAGCAACGCAATATACATTATTAGTTTTGTTTTGATTATAAGGAAATTGCTACTGTTAATTATTGTAATTTAGCAATTCAAACATTATCTTGCTGTCATGAAATACATCTGACATCTGACACTGCGTTAAGACACTATGTTACAAACTTTCGGAAGAGTTCGTCTCATCTCACCATGCGTTGCTTATTTTTTTCCAATACATTCAAGCTCATAGTAACTATCGTTACAAAAGACAACTGCTTGTCAAAGTTTCAGCGAAAAAGATTAGAAGCCAGATCTATTTGACAGAGCACAATTATGCTTGTCCCAAAAGCTGTTAGCTTCTGTATGCACAGATATCACAGATCGTAACAACGTGCTTCCTTTCTTCCACGTGGAGTATTACACAAATAAGCTGAAATGATGGGCAATGACTTTCTACTTACCATGTTCATGGCTTTCGAATGGAAACTTAAACCGCTTTTGTTGTCTCGGACCCCTGTGAAAAGGAATTAAAAGAGGGTTCAGCAATGGTTGATAATTATTGATTGGTTAAAGCCCCAAGCCTTGTTGGAAAACGTCATAGAGTTCTAAAGTGTGACGTCATCAAAACCCTTTTTTAGATTTTTGGATTTTAACCACATAGCGTAAAAGATCACCATGAAATACTTTCAAATACGCAAAAATTGGCCAAATGTGTCTAAAATCGGTTGAGATATGGCTAATGAAAGATTGAAAGTTTGCTAACGAATCACTGTTATTTTGGCTCTGTTCATAAAGTTATGGGGAGTGAACCAATAAACATGTGGCCATATCTCTGCCATTTCGTAATAAACTTGCCTGATTTTGCAAATTTAGAGGTATTTCATGATGCTCTTTCAGGTTATGGGACCCGAATTAAAAAATTCTAGAAAAAGATTTTTGTGACGTCATCACTTTACAACTCTATTGGCAAATTTTAAATACACAATTGAATCTAAAACTTTATGATTGACGGCTCATTTTCTGATTGGTATCGACAATAGATTCCAATGTGCTTTTGTTTCTCCAGGCTGAATATCACCTATGCTAGAGCTTCAGATTCTGCTTTTTATCAAGTTGAAGTGAAAAATAAACGCCTTGATATCACTGAAGAGACCCTCTTCTGGTTGAACGTGCAAGGTCAGCATCTTTTTATTAGCTCAACAATACTTAACTTCTTGCATGCAAGGAAAATGTTCTATCAAAGTATACTTTATCATTGTTGAAAAGTGGCAAGAGTGCTTGGCCAGCCAATTCTGAATATTGTTGTAATGATAAATAGTGAAGGTTTGCCCTTGGCAAAATAAAATTTCCAGTAAATGAGAATATCGTTCCTTTTATAAGCTCGCATGGAGACTGTTTACTTACCATGCCTCCCAAAATGCATTCCTTTTCCCAGATATTGTTGTTTTTTCCTCCTCTACCCCTCAGAGCAATGTTGATAGTTTAGGTAAATTTCTTACAAGTCACACAGAAAACTTAACTGTTAATCCCCTACGTCGTTTTATAAAAATCCAGCTTCATATACAAACCATATACAAACAAAGTCTTGATAAAACAAGAATTCACTCACGCCTCAATGCTAAGTTTTTTTTATGTTTTGTGACTTTCAATTTTTTCTGAGCATTAACATGCGATCTTGTTCCGTGACCATGAAAAATTGTGTGACTCAAAATCGAGCGTATGTTCAAAAGAATGTTTCTAGGCTGTCTCTCTCTGAGTTTCACGCTTAATGCCATCATCAGGCAACTGCTGAAGACTAGGCCTGTACCGGTGACCTTTAACTTCCCCATTTGGTCAGACTGTTTTGGTCAAAAGTTATTAACGTTGCTAAATTTTAAATCGAAATTTCAAAATTGAAAGCAAACGTTTCTTTTTTCGCAGAATGCAGAGCAAACGAAAAGGAAATGCCTGGCAGCACAACCAAATGCAAGACTTCATGCGTTGGTATGTATTTCTTGGTTCTATCTCACATGGAAACAGTTTATAGTCCTCGTTTTGCTGATCAGTAGATGTTTGGAAAGATTACAACTACAACTGTCAAGGACATGAGGTTCCCAAAATTGTCACTTTAAGACAAACTTCATGTGTACATAAGACTAAGAACCCACGTTAGACACCTTTTCACGCGCATTGTACTCGACTCAATTTGCGTATGTACTACAGACGACGCGACTATTTGTTTCGAAAAAAAAATGGTTCTCCATGCGGATTTTCTTGAAATTGAAACGGATATGCCAATATTCTTACGCACAAAGTATTATGAATTCATAAAAGTTGTTATATGAATTATTTATATTCGTAGAAAGGCCCGTCAAAGATCGTTTTATAGATGTTTCATCAAATGCGTTCTAAACGATTTATGTCATTGAAACCTTTTATTATAAGATCATTCAGGTTTGAAGCCAATACATGTAATAAAAACTAACATGATTAAGCCAAAATGAATTGTAAGTTAGAAATGTTTGGCGTTGATTGCTGAGAGCATTGTTTCAGTCTCGAAAAGTGCTTTCCCAAAAACCGTTGTTGCCAATTTTTTCTTCCCAGCGCGTCTACTTTCTACATACGATGAATTAAACTTTTATTTACAGCCTGAGAAGTTGGCCAGCAGTTCTTCTGTAATATTGAGATTTTCTTTCGCGATAATGGCCATCATAGCACTGTTACGTGGGAAGGAGTTATGTTTAAGAAGGCTCTATTGATTCGTCTTTGTGTCTCAGTCCTATTTTAGATGGTTATGTAGGATTGGATTTATCCAACTAGGGACGATTTTGCGTCACCTGACCGTGCACTTATCCTATCAGTGCTGTTTGAAAAACATCATAACAGGCCAGTTTTGAATAATCTCTCTCAAAGACTCTGTTTCTCTCCACCTATAGAGCGAGCAGGACCTTCAACTCCGGAATTCTGCATTGTTTTATCTCTTAAAATCTAACGAACTTCTCAGTCATCTTAAAAAAATACAAGCTTTATTGTCAATAAACGTTAATTGGAAATGTTGAAAAGCAATAAGAAAAACATGCTTTTTAGTCGTGTTAGGAGAAATTCAATGTGGAAGAAGTAGATGAAATTTCATTGATTGATTGTGCTAAGTTTTATAATGGCAACATGCTTCTGATATCTGGCAGAGCACTGTTGTCCTTCCATCTAAGAGTTAGAATTCATCTACATTAAATTGAAAAAAACCGCTACTGTGTAGAGAGAAAAGTCGCTCTTTTAGAGTCTATTGGAAATATTTTCAATAGACAAGCGGCATTGATTATCTTATTGCCCTATTTCGATCCATAACTGGGTAATATTTTCATAGCCTAGAAATCTTAATCCTTTTCCTGATCTTATACCCTGAAAAGCGCAAAGCTCGAGTATGTTTTAAATTGTTTGCTTTTTTCAAAGCCATTTAGGTAAGGCACGTGTGATGTTAATCTATAGTTGGTACCCCCATAGTATGCTATCGTTCCGCTTTTTTGTGCTATCATCAAATTTTGTATGAACCCCTTTATTATTTTGCCAATTATTATGAATTCAGAGGAAGCTCACGTAGAACCGCCTTGCTCTATACACCAAACCTTAAATTTAAACGAATACTGAAGATATTTTAAAATCGAGATTTTTCTACTAACAATTATTTTAATAAGTGAGAAAGAGATTTTCTTCACCAATTTTTTTGGAACTTGAGTTTTTGGCCCCAAAACTGTTGCTAGTCAATATTGTTTCTAGTTGGAGAGAGTGGTGATCTGAAATTATGCCACATTTGACATTGTGTGTCATGATTTCGGCAGACATTTTAGAAGTGAATTAGTGAACAAATGCGATTGTTTTGACTGTTATTGTCTGAAATCGAAATTGATGTTATTGTCTAAAACTGGATAGATATTAGAGATTCATACTTCGTCTCTGAACAGTCGAATCGTCAGGTCATGGAAATTTCATTAGCATCGGCAGAACATAAGTTCAGAACACGTGGACGAATACAGACTTCTGTTAATACTTTTTGCAGCGTTGCTAGAGAATTTTTATGATGACAAAAGAAGCCGATAGATGTCAATTTGCTTTTGAGGAGAAACCGATTTATTGTAGAACCTTGAGGAAGAACCGATTCATATGTTGTCATGGAATATTGATAATTATCTGAAATAATTATAATCAAATGACTGAGGATTGACGCCTTCTGGGCTTGCAATGTGAATAGCTCTTCAGAAAGCTTTTTGAAAAATGTGAAACATGTGCCATTAATCCATTTGTCGGTTGTCCTGTTTTTCGCAGGAAACTAATTGAAATTTGCACCCCATCGTAGGTCAAGCGCGCAGCTGCTGTCAGGAAAGCCTTTGTCGCGACGAAGGAATAAAAAGCGAGTTTCTGAGCAATATTATTAGCGAATTTTCACAAACCTGAATTAGCGTTTATACTAACTTCTACGAGCTCTAAAATGTTTCCAAATAATTGAATTTAGTCCTCTGCGACTGAAGATGCAAATATTTTTGAAAATGTTTAAACGTGCCCAGCTACAGAGTTGTTGGCCTCAAAACCAAAGAAAGATATTTCGACCTTAGCTATTGGAATGGAAAACAAAATTAACTTCATGTCTTCTCCAGTTTTGGTTTATTAGAAAGAGAAGAATGAATGAAGTTTCATTACTGAGATGATCGTTTGCTCCTCCCCCTCGCAGTCATTTAGTATCGCCATATCTTACTTGAGACCTTGATAACTCCTAATCTATACAACTTCAAAAAGCTATGACAGAAAGCTGTAACAGTTTAATTATTTTTCAGTTGAGTTGATTATATATTTTTATCTATCTGTTTTATATCTATTTTCTACTCTTGACAACAGAAATTCATTGTTTTTACTTTCTTAGAATTTCAAGCCTATAAGATACGTCTCACCAAAATATAACGTCATAAAAATAGAATTCAGGATATTTCAATTTAGACTGTATAGCCTGAAAGAGCATCACAAAATCCTTCTGAATAAGCAAAATCAATTAAAAATTTTGAATTTTGGGTGAGTTATGGGCAATTAAAGATGTTAGGTTTGCTAACGAATCACTGCTATTTTGGTCTGGTTCATAAAGCTATAAGTCGAAGCCAAATTGCATCGATATGATTGGGAAGATCTTGTGGCCTTATCTCGGGCAATTCGTAACACCTTTAAGCTGGTATTGTACATTCAAAAGTATTTTTTAATGCTCTTGAAAGTTATGAATATATTTTGAATATAATTTGGACGTCGTAACTCTTTGCAAGGAAATGTTCCAAGTAATCTTCGGGATCTTCTTGTCACACAATATTTTCTGATAATTTAAAACTGCAATGATAACATAAACAATTCTCTTGTTTACTATTTGAGTTTTCTGCCAGGAACAAGTTTTCTTGCAAATTTTTGAAAATTCATTAGCTTAATCTTCAAACGATGCTTTTCTTTGTCTTGCGCTCACCTAGTGATGTAACACACTTTTTCAAGCCCCATTTACCAACTAGATTTGACTTCATCTTAAAGATTTTGCATATTCAAAAGTCTTATTCTTTCGTAAATTTACTTACTTTCAGAGATGTGTCCAGCTGGCTGGAGCTATCTAGCTAGCAGTAATGGCAACCGATGTTATAAATACTTTGGAGAGCCAAAATCGTGGTTAGCGGCTCGTGATAGTTGTCAGAACATTGGCTCTCAGCTTGCAGTCGCTGGAAACGAGCAAGAAAACAGGTCTGTTTTTAGCAGCAAGTATCACGAAAGTGATATTTTTCTCAATAACGCGTTCAATGAAATATCTTGACTTGACTTGACAAATATCATAAAAGTCACTTGAATAGACTTCCTACCTTCCTATACCATTTTTAGGTAGCCAATATTGTTGGAAGGGGGCTTGGGTGGTTCGACCCTGAAAATTGGGTTTGTGTTCCAAGACCTATTTTGGCAGGGTTAAAATCATAGGCCCTCCCGTTGATTCTGATCCTTCACACGCTGTAGAAATTGGCTACCCTATACTAACTGCCGACAGACAGCAAATAGTATGGAAATATTGTCAGGCAATTTTTTCAAGGGACTCTAAGTATGAGGTGAGATTAAAACCCGTGTAGGTATTTTAGATGAAATAATCTAAGATGTCGTTCATATAGCCAGCCTTCACGCCAGAACGAATATTCAACACTTCGACCTATCATCCAGTTAGTTTTCGTCGTCAATTAATGAATAATTTTATAAGATCATAAATATATAATTTAATACCTGGCTAGATGTAAGATAGTTTTGGTAAAGCGGAATACGATATACCCCGCGTTATTTCTTTCTTCTGTTCTAGAAGTAATTAACTGTATTTTGTTGAATAAGCCAATTTTTTCGATAAAAAATCTTCAACTGAAACTCACCGACATTTACTACGACAGTCTTTCTAATATCTTCTAAAAAGAGATTATTTAGACCTTTAACCCCTCGTTGCTAGAACGCGTGAGTAGTAATAACCAATGCTTATTGTAGTTTTTGCTGTGTTTTATTTTGCAGTTTTATCGGGAGCCTTGTAAAATCTGCAGAAGGGAGTTGGATTGGTCTCAACGATCGAATTTCTGAATCAACATTTTTATGGAACTACGAAAAGACAAACTCGTATAGTTTTACTGCCTGGGCTGCTAACGAGCCAAACAATTACAACGCGAAGTGTAACATTGAGAACTGTGTCGTAACGAACAGCAGAACAGGACAATGGGCCGATGTGATATGCAATTCATTTTATCCATTTGTATGCCAGAGGTCAACTGGAGGAGGTATGTGATAGTTTTTTGCATAGCTCATGCATTGTATGTCATACATTGAATGTGTTGTTGGTAAATTTAATGAAGAAGTGCCAAGTGCCCCTCTCATTTAGTGTTGAGCTTCTTAGCAATTTGCAGTGTTGAGCTTAGATGAAGATTTATGCATGCCTTAAACAAATAAATACTTATCCACTAAAGATCAACCATAGAATACTTTGTTTAACGCTTAGTTAATAGAAAAGAAACAAAAACACTGCAAATTTCAGCTTGCTGTTGCCATTAGAACAATCCAGAGGCGAATTAGATGAAATTTTCTGTTCCGTTTCTGGTCAACAGTTAGTTTGTAGTCCTCTTGACGTTAATCTCTTACTGACAAAATTTGGTAATGGAAATGCCCAGTTATGTTGCTTAGCTTTTGTTTTTAATTTCGTCTGGCATGTTCTTTATCGATTGGCTATCCAGGGCTTTAGCTGAAAGAAATTTTTCCTCGTTTCTAAGTGATAAAAGGGCAAAGAAATCACATTCTAAACATTCAAGTCCAGATGCCTTTTAGGCTTTATTTTCTATCGTTTAGTGCTTTTTTGTGGGCTTATCACAGCAAGAGTTTTTAATTGCTCTAGAGATCAGTGTTTTAGACTTATTTGTTGACGATCAAAGCTGTATTTTTTGACCTCCGCAAGTTTGGTGACCAGGTGCTAGTTATTTAATTAAAATTCATCTTTCATCCGTACCATTGCTTGAACAAATGAATGAAACTAGAGTTTCTCAATGCTATTAACGCTAAAAAGAGCATTGAACTGAACAGCTAGACTTAATTCTTCCATCATGATAGAGAAATTGATCAAAATATAATCTTGAAAGCAATGTGATGACCGTAATAGTTTTTAAAAAAGGGGCGAAACTAATCGTAAATGACCTTTGAATTTAACAAGCTGGAAAATTAATTCACCTACCTAAAACCATTACTAAAAACTAGGTTTGCCAACCATAATAATTTAGGTCTTTGCTTAAAGTTATTAGGCCTACACCTATTTTTAACTATTTGGCAAAGTTACATCCTCAGAATAGTTTGAATCAGCAAAACCATGCACGTTTGTGTGAAGTGTATTGTCTAAATCAGCACAATTTTGGTCAACATAACGCTGTGAAAGTAAAATGTGAAGTTTTCCCCTAATTCTGAAACCCTTAATTGACCTTCTTTTCTTGATTGCCCATGGTGTATTACAAAATCAATTTTTACAGCTGTTCAGACTGAGCTGACCTATATGTACGTACCTGTATGTAGTTTATGTCGTAACAAAAAACGTATTTATGAAATAATAATATGAAATAATAATCGGTAAGACCCTCCAATGAATTACATGAAGTAAACAGAATAGTTAGCTGCAAACAAGTTGTACAGTCTGTAGGTTGCACGGCGACGCTTCTGGCTTTGAGGCAGGTTAAGAGTCGGTATAGTATAGAATGCCTATTCTGTTCATTATAAACAAATATATGTTATTAGACAAGACTGGTTTCCAAAGAATCGAAAGAACTTCAAGATGCCTGCGATGGTGCTTCGTTTTTTCGTCGACTAGTTCCAAAATCATTTTCAGCTATCACTCGAAAGTGTGGAAGATTGTACAACAAAAGGTACCGTATTTTGTTTCTCTTCTATTGGCACCAAAAGTTATGACCGAGCAGCTCTGGTGATGTGATCAATTTCTAATTACGCAGTTTCGCAGCAATGCGGGCTTCAGCCGCTCATCGGAAATGCAGGATAACAGGATGTTTTCGCGTTGGAGAGAATTTTGCACGTGTTCAAGACCTTATAAGGAGGTACTTCTCAATTTTTCATAAATTTTAATGCCCTTCGGGACCTTTAAAAAAGCGCGCAAATTGGTTGTCAGTTGTATAATGCGAGACTTCACTACGAGTCGACAAGTATCTTGACGGTCTAGAAAAGGATGACATTATCACGACTGATGTGGACATCAGTTGATTATTGAGTTCACATTTGACATTTCGTGGAAGAAGCTTCGCAGATCTAACAACTGAAAGCACCACTTAAGGAACAAAGAAGTTGACAGAAAGCAGCTGTAAAGACGTTTAACAGAGACAATCGTTAAAGGTTAGTGACAGATTCATAATTCCTTTCTTTCTTCAGTCGATTTCTTCTTGTTCGTATTTTTCTTTAGTTTTGCTTGTTATCATAGTATTTGCTTGGACGTATTTTTCTTTAGTTTTGCTTGTTATCATAGTATTTTCTCGAACGTATTTTTCTTTAGTTTTGCTTGTTATCATAGTATTTGCTTGAACGTATTTTTCTTTAATTTTGCTTGTTATCATAGTATTTGCATACTGTATTTATTTCTACGGTAAACACGGCTTTATTTTTGCGAATTTTAGAACCAGTCCTTATACCATAATTGTTCCGTTTCTATGAAGAGAAAAGTAGTTCGATTAGTTTCTTCCGCATATAACCTCTCCGCAAATGGTTCGACTCAGGTGAGGTGTGCCATGCCAACTAGAAAATTGGTGCTATAAGGTCGTGACATGCAAAACCCGCTTAAAATATAGTAGTACTAGATAAATATAATCGCTCTCAGACGATGGGACATCTTTTACAATTCATTTTTCTTTTGCTGTCTTCATTTCCTGCGAGCATTATCAATGTTTGTTTCCACAAGTTCATATAGTTGATCAAATGCCCAATTCACCTATGTTTTAAAGAATGGCACGAAATCCATATTCTACCAAGGCAAACTCTAGCACAGTATACACAGCCGTGTCTTCCACAACACCAGAATTTCTTAACAAATGGATGTCTTGCATTCCCCAAAACTCTTTTCATGCCTTGTGGTACTCTTTGACGGTAATGCTTTCCTAGTAACACAAATTATTTCCACTTGGTTCATTTTGTCGCACAGGTTTATTGACTTTGGTTTATTGACATGGCTCGTACGTTACATGAATGGTATCACCTCTGTAGTTTTACGTCAATGTATATTTCTAGAAAGTCGTTAAAATTGAAGTTTTCATTTAAAAGAAAGCAGATCAATCTTTTTCCTTAAAGAAACATTTTTCAATATCTAAGCCTCAGAAGATCATGATAAAATTTATAGTTAGTTAGGTGTAACATCTAGACAGATCTATTTGCAACTTAATGCATAAAGTTCGTTGAGGTTTTCTCACTTATCTGGATGACAAAATCTTTATAGAATCAAAGTTTTACTTCCAATTTTTTGTTTTCTTTGTATCAGTTATTAAATGTTCAAAATCAGTTGGGCGTTACATATTTGCTCAGCTTTGTAAAGTGCCTGCTAGTAGGCAAACAAGCTTTACTGCTTAGTGAAAATGTAGCATGCCTGTAATGTGTCAGTAAGTTCTTTTGCTTTAAAGTTAATTGCCAACGCTTGACCTGTGTTTTGCTGTTCAGGTATTGTTAAGGAAGGCTTGGAAAGCTTTACTTTCGATCATGAATATTGCGATCGAGAAATACAAAATGATGTATATCTTTTCTAGGCACTATGTCCCGTCAGGCAACCTTTTAGAGTTAGCAATAGGCTGTGAAGCGCGTTTATGATCAAGAAAACATTGCGAATTAGTCCTACGTTGATGATTGGATACATAAGAATAGGTCTATTGTGTATTCCAACCAATGGGGAATTTGAATGGCCAGCGAAAAGCGTCAGGACATAGCGTCTGTAATGCATAGCTCGCAATATAAGCGTATATCTTGTTAAAATATCTACATCGTTCAATAAAGGGATATCGCACACAGAAATCAAGCGGCATGTTACTTCCAATCTAGAAAATAATCAATAATTTACGCCTTGGTACGTGTTTGTTATTAATCATTAGCTACATCTGTTTTTAAGTCGCTTACTAGCTCATCAAAAATTAGCGTAAAAGCAGTCATGTTTACTTTTCAAGGTTTTATTCAAAAATCAAAGTTTTGATGGATATCTAAGAACCATTATCCATCCGTAAATTGACGATGCTAACAAGTGGACAGAGAAGTTGTTAAAATTTTCCAAGTATTTTTGAAAGTTTTACGCTCATTCTTAACGTTTGTCAAATGAAAAAGCAAACGCGGCACTGAAAGAGCCAAAAACTTCATTGATAAGATAGGTTTAGCTTATTGTAAAGTGCCACGGTTTTTCTGGTCGATGTACCTATTCCTCGGAGCTAGATATTTGAACAACACTCCTTCGAGGGTATCGAGGTTATTGACTTACAAATCAATCTGTTTGTTTTACACTCCTTGAACTGATAATAGGGTTGTGGCAGTATTAAGCATGGAGGCTGGGAAAATTCTTCAGAAGGGTTAGATAAATGACAATTCGGTTATGTTTCTAATCGTACCACAAGGATCGTTCCTGGCCTTGTTGCATTTAGCTTGAAAATTGATGATCTACTGGATAATTTATGAAGTCAAATCAACAGTTTTGCGGATTACTAGACAACTTTTCGCCAAATAAATGTTTACAAAACATAGTAAGGTCTAAGATTAAAATGAGACATTATGATTAAAGAGAATAATTTTTCATGAATAGTTGAGTAGAGAGAATGAATGATAAGGGCCACTAAATGACATGTTATTAATTCCTTCACCGTTTTTCATTTCCAATTCGCCCGGCAAACTAAAATAAAGAGAATAAGTTATAAAGGTTTGTTATGGCGATAAGCTTGATTTTTTGTTTTGAAATAAATTCTCACATTCCTCAAGAATGTCTGTCAAAAAATGAAAGCTTCAGAGCAACGTGGCTGTTTCTAAAGACATATATCTAAACATTTTGACCAGAAGCATAAACATTTTGAGAGATATTCCTGGAAAGGTCTGGTGATGATGATTAAGGAAAGGTTAGTTATGTACGTACATATTGAAATACCTGCATAAGCATAATGTGATTTGCCACAACAAGTTTTTTGTCAACGAGACAACTTTGGTACCTGTTTGGTTGATTGCAACCTGGCACGATCTTCGAAGAGCTTTCAAGATACTTTGGTACGCTTATGTTTTTCAAAAGAAGACGTTGTTATTTGGTTGTGTTTTTCAATTTTTTCATTTCTTTTCTCGAATGGTACATTAAGTGCAAAAGTTTTCAGCGAATAAAGTTTCGGACAATAAACTGCAGCGAAAATATCTTTTTAGCATTTTGGACAAATAAACTTTCGAGCAAATATTGACTAGTCTAATAAGTATTTAAACCACATCATGTTATTAGTTCACGCATACCCTTAAGACCGTTACTGAACTCTTGAGAAACATGCGAGAGATTCTGTGTACTGAAAATTTGATAGTGTTGAAAAGCTTTCGGTACCAAACTGGCTCAAATTCTCAGTTTCTTTTAAAGAATACGTGTACTTAAACTAAACACCTTCTCGATTAAAGATCCCTTCAAGATCGGAGTTTTTAAAATACATTGGAAAGAAAAATACAGGAGAGGAAAGAAAAATCACTAATTTTCTCGTAAATGTTCACACTTTTGTGCTTATGTTTGCTTTCACATTTAACTCTCCAAAAGGGTCTTCTGATTTCTGTTAAAGTTCTATAACGTCATCAATTCCGGTCATTTGAGCCATTGTCCAATCATAAGAAGGATGTGACATAAATTTTTGATTGACGATGAAGACGATCAATAATGTTTGTCACGCCGAGAATTTTAGCATTTAATGTACTACCTCCACCTCCTCCATGTTGCAGAACGATGTTGATAGTCTACAAAAATATCACTCAAGTCACCAAAAACGTATTAAATGATTATCTTCTTTTTTTTCTAGTGAAGTAAAATTTTTCCTTGGGGGAGGCAAGGGTTGTACATCAAATGCTTAACTGTAAACTTGACATGAATCATGACTCGCCTGACACATTGCTCTTTTTGAACCTTTTTTAAACTGTCTGCTCTTTAACAAGTCACCTGATGAAAATTTAGAAGCTTATAACGAATGTGTGTCGGTTCTGCCTTTTGGAAACACACCCTTAACTTGTGCTCCTTTAGGTATTCAGGTTTCAAAATAAATATTGAAAAGGTATGTAGCTACAGTTTGTAGCAAAAATACATGTAAATTCTTGCTAATCTTTATCTTATCCATATCACATTTGGCATCGATATATTCGAGACAAATTTATCTGCTATTATTTGTTTTATTGTTCTTATATCATCATCGTCATCATCATCATCATTTATTTTTTTTATTTCTTTAATTATTTTTTCATTCATTTATTTATTTATTTGTTGGTTATGATCCAAATCATTTCTTAAACTGATTCTATAACGGCGAAAAAGAAATCTAAAAGCAATAAAATCGCAAGAATCAGTGTCTAGTCATCTGTAAAATTGTGGAATTAACTTCATAAATTATCCAGTATATGTCATCAACCTATCCAGGGGTAAAGTGGATTCAACTGCGAATACAGAAAGCCTTTTTGCCCTTTCAAGAAAACATCCTCCTGATCCATGTTTAAACCGCTACCGGCAAGGACTAAGCAGTTTTTCAATTCTCTTGTAACCCAAATTGAAATCTGCTATAATTTTTTTCCTCCCTGCTCTCTCTGAGCTTCCTCCAGCTTTTGCTGTGCTTCTTTCTAGTTTACATAGGTGCTGTTTGTATACGTTGTGTTTGTAAACGAATCTGCTGTAATGAAACCAAAGGCATTAGACGAGGCAAAGCTCAGGAAATAATATCAAAATTCGTATATTATAAGGACAAGTTATTGGAGGGGGGGGGGGGCGGAGGGGTTGCTATTTTAGAATTATTTGTTGAAAAACATTTGCTTTTCAAGCAGAGTCCAGAAAAAAAGGACAGCTCAACGGCTGGGAGCCGGAGGAAAGTTTTGCTTGTTAATGTCATATTTGTGGAAGGTTTATTAGTAATTTCAAAAGAAACATGTTATCAGGAAAATTTTTTGCAAATAATAAAATTGAGAAAGATTTGATAGTTTTATGTAAAGATTTGATAGTTTTATGGATTTAATAGTTTAAAAAAACAAATTTCCCAAAGTTATTCATGAGTATCATTGAAAATCCTTGCTCAAATGGGATATTTACTCAAAATGTTCCTGAAGCTGAAGCCCCATGGTCCTCTTCCAATCACCAGCTACTTCAAAGGCTTTTGTGCTTAGGAAGTCCATGAAAACTCAAAAATTCAGTATGCCAAGGGATATTAAAAAGTTATTGAGGAAAGTGCTAAAACATAGATTGGTGTTTCCCGAGCAAACACAGTTGCTAACAACCTGAGAATTATCAGTGATTTGAACATGGTGAAAGAGAGAGAATCCCATGACTTTATCACTCTGCATTTTAGCATGGGTTTAATGCAGAAAGGTAGAAAAAGGTGTACATATTGTATCAGTCATCTTAAAAATTAAGTTAGGATTGAATTAATATGTACAAATTTTGTTTTTATGGTTTGCTTTTCTGTGACAAGGAATTAAACTTGGTGTATCTATTGCGGTGATCAGAACAAGGCACACCCTTCTAGAATTCTTCTAAAATTAAATCTTGGTTACATCTTGCTTGTGCTCTAACATTTCTTAAATTTAAAACTAGCTTTGGGAAATAACATGAGTTAGATATAGAGGTAGGTGCCAGATGCATAATATTAATTTTGCATTGCATATGCCAAATGTAAGCCAACTTATAATGTGACATTATTTGGTTTCTATTGTTTGAAAGTCAAATTTACCCATTGGAGTACATCATTTACCTCTGGAAATTATAAATTTTATCTTACACTGACTGCCTGAGGAAAAATAAATGAAAATGTATCATAATACAAAGAGTGGTAAAATTTATGCTCAATCTACGTTCCAGCGACTAGTTCATATTTTGTATATGTTCTTACAGGCATAGAATAATCGTTAATCACCGTCGTGTTGTGCTGTAATTGCATTCAATATGGGCAGGAATCACAAAATGTGGTCACATCGAGAGGAAAAGCCAGTGCACTGCTCAACAATCAGGGCGTATCATTGTCCTTAAAACTATCTTCTTTATGAAAAAAGTTATAGAATTTCTTCTTGTTAATTGAATGTTTTCCGTACCATCTCAGTGTAACCGCCATTTTTGCTTTTATTTAATCTTTGTTACATGAAGCTTCATTTACGATTACGGAAATGACATGAAGTTTGGCGGGAAAAGTTGTAAAACAAAACGTTATGAGAGTGCGAAACTAAATTAGTCATATAATAGGGTGTGTTGCGACCATAGAGATTGCGACGAAAGCTCGATGGATGGCTACAATTGTAGGGGTAAGGATGGAGGCAAGTGTCGTGTTATTTGTTTCTGTTGTGGAGAGGAATGCACAAAAGATAACCACAAAAGGCACACAAATACAAAGCATTATGGCCAACCACCCAATAAAAAATCAGGAGTGTAGAAGGCCAAAAATTGCTAAATTCTTTCGAAATTCCACTTTCTGAAGCTCCTCGTCTACATATCCCCCGCAAAGATGCCAATGCGAATGTTGTTGAATCAATCAGAGTTCCAATTCTAATCTCTAATTCTATGCCGCCTTCAAATGAAATCACTACGTACGTGTGTGAACGGGGCCTAAATCTGGCTGATCATGACATTCACGAGATGCAAATATTTTCTTGGTTACTTAGTATCACCAATACGGTAAGCTCGTCATTAAGCATTGACGAAGGACTTGAGCAAATGTTAGAGTCTGCAGATGATCTCAACCAGAGGCTTTATAAGCTTCAACCGTATTCTCATACCAGGTTTGCACAATACTCCCATGTTGCATATTTGAACTTTCAGCGAAGTTTTGCGATTAGTGTTGATACACTAAACAAGCGGAAGATATATGCGGACGCAAAAGTAAAAAAACAGCACAAGACAATTTGAGCGATATTTGCAACACTCTGTTTGTTTCAACTTTGTGTGCTGTAGTTGATTTCTACAATGCAGTGGTGAAATTGTCGTGCAAGGTCGAAGAAGTGGACTAGAAAAATGGCTGATGAATGTATTATTCAAGTTAACAATGTAGCTGATGGAGAAGAAGCCGAAACGACAAAGCTAAGAATGGATTCAAATTTATGGCCAAATTTATCAGAGCATCTTGATGAAATAGATGCAATGAATTTTCAGGCGTCCTGCTATCTCCGTCACAAGATAAAGACCGACAAACGAGAGGCTATTCCGATGTTAGCGATGTCCAATTTCTTACTACTTTGCAAAATAGGCTTCAGAGCTAATGCCAACATACTGCAAGAGTGATTGAAGGTCGCACAATAAAGAATCTACAAAACCCTTATCCAACTCTTGTTACACTTGACATGGCTGGTTGTCTCGACCTACAATCTCTTTATAACAGAAGTCAAACAGGTGATTTTTCTATTGAAACCCACGGGTATATTCATTTACAGAACGTTATGAATGTTGCTAAAATTGATCAAGAATATCGTGATTGCCCAAGGACGTTCAAGCAATATTTTGATTTCATAGAACGAAGCTAGCTTGTTTGAACTGCATGCATGTTCACTGGCATATGGCGTAACATCAAGAAAACACACTCAGTGCATATAATTACATGAAGATAATGCAGTGGCGGTTTTAAGGGGGGTCCAGGGGGGCCGTGGCCCCAGGCCCCGCCCTTATGGTAGCCAAAAGGAGCCCCACACCTAAGAAAAAGGATAATTGTAAAAAAGAACAATAATAATAGAAGGTAATTGTAAAGAACAAGGGCTCCGCAGATGTTTTTGGCCCCGGGCCTCGCAGTCCCCAAAACCGCTGCTGAGATAATGTCGCCAAGGAAGGTCATCAGCATAAAATTCTTGCATCTTTTTACCAAGTTTGAAGATTGATACCGTGGTATCGAAAACTTCCTGCTTTTTCTCTTGAGAAATTCAGTCAAGACTCATGCTGGAGCAGTGGAGTCAATGGGAAGCTACATTGATTATCAGAGCAATAAGAGACGAGGTTTAGACATTGCAACAGTTGGATGCGAAAGCAGAATTCACTGGAATGGTCCCCCGCTACATAAGGCAAGTGCATTGATTGAATCTGCTTTAGGCCGAAACTTTGGTGGAGGATCAAACTGGCACTTCGTTACGAAGGAAAACAAACACGAATCTGTCGTCGTTTTAAAAATGAAGAAAAAAAGATCAAGAGTACCGTGGTTTTAAAAGTACCTTTGTGAATTTGACGTATCAATTTCATCGATTTTAATAAGTTGGTGTGACAATTGTTAAGGGTTTTGCGTTCTAAAAAATAATATTTATATTATTTATAAACAACTGTCAATCGAGCAGCTGTGCCATTAATTTTATGGCTATAAACAATGAAAGTAATTGTAAAAAATATTTTGTTTTGAGTTGGTAAAATGAGGAAAGTTTGAATTATAAAAATTGCAGCCTGAGGAAGGTTATGACTTTGACTCTGTGTTCAAGGTTGCCGCTTGTACTTAAATCTATACGTTCTACTTGCCATATCTCCAAAACAATAGCAAAAGAAATTTCAGAGAAGTAAGGATGTCCTTTTCGAAATCCTAGGCCTACACAGACTACTATACATGTTATTCTGTTGGTCAAAGTGTCTGACTCTGTCAATCAAGTTTTCATCAAAAGTCGACGATAAATCAACTGTTATTGAACAACTCGCTTGACACGGTGAATCGCAATTTCTTTTTGAACAAGTAGCTTCATCACAGAATAGAAATAAGGCAGAAGGGTCACTCCGGGCTTTCGCGGCGGTCATGGATTTTCTCGCGCATGCGTTATTGAAAACGAGGTTAGAGGTGGAACATTCCCGGAAAATATTCACGCAAGTAGTAAACTCTCCTTCTTCTGGAACTTCGCGATCGCTTAAAATGCTGGCCTCTAAGACGAAACTTGTGAAGGATGTTAAACGTAGTGGGACTGGTGCTTACTGCGCTGCTGTTAACTGCAATAACAACAGAAAGTCATGCCCCAATCTTCAGTTCTACCGTTTCCCATCGGACGAAAGCCGGTGAGTAGGCCTAAATTTAATTCGCTTCAACAGGATCTTCTTGTTTCAACGTAAAACACTCGAACTTTTTAAAGAAATTAATTCATATTTATTGATTAAAAGATCTTTTTTACTTTATAGATGCAGAAAATGGGTACAAAATAGCAGGCGACAGGATCTGCTTAACAAGTCAACCGCCTACTTGAACAAAAATTGCTACGTTTGTTCCAAACATTTTGAAAAGGAATTTTTGCCAAAATTCGTTAACGCAAGGTCCCGATTATCAAAAAATGCAATCCCCACCCTTTTTGATGTCCCAAATCCCCCGCCAATAGTTGGAAGTAAAAGAGCCCCCCCAAAGCCAAGACAACCAGGTAAACATACAAATATTCCTTCATATGTTGTAAAACACGTAAGATGAGCTTGTAAGTTTAGTTCAATTACTTCTAAAATTTGTTTGTATTTTTTCCTTTTTTATGGTCTTTGCTAGCCTATTGTCTCAACACTATAGCTATTTTGCAAAAAAATAGAGTTCCTGACCGAAAAGGGTTGTTTTACCTATACAAGCATTTTATTGTGTTTTTAGGTATTTCAAAAAAACAAAAATTGGACCTGGATAACTATGGAACTGGTGATAGATTTGATAAATGTAAGTGTTGACATTTTCTTAATCAACTTCTGCAACAAAAATCTACATCATAAATTTTGGTATCTTATTGTTTGCACTTTTTGAAATATTGAATGTAATTCCGTTTTTTCGCATTTTGTAACTTTACTGTTATTTTTTCAAATATGAAATGATTGATAGATTGCAAATGTATACTCTGCATTTTGTTAGGTAACCCTGATGAAATTGAAGAGGATAGCACACCTATAGAGGCTGCCGATCAAAGCAAGTACAATTATATTTTTTTTAAGAAGCTGCTTTTCATAAATCTTAATTATCAAATATTTTATTTGCAGACATTTTAATTAAAAATGGCCTAATATGATTGTTGCTGACTACTGACATCTCTGTTGAATCATTGTATTTTTTAGGGAAAGATGAGTCACCTTCATCAACAAATGGAGAAAATAACAAATATTGTCAGTTTTCCCAAACCCCTGCTCAATTTACTATCAACACCCCAAGGAAAAGAAAACTCAGATCCCTTTTGAAGAAAAAACGCAACAAAATAGCCCTTTTATCAAAGAAATTGTCATTTGGAAAGAATCTCTGTTCATCCTCCCCCCTTAAGAAAAACAAGAAGCGTGCAATGAAGGCCTTGGAATTACTAGATGGAGTTATTTCTCCTGAACTTCATAATTTTCTTAAATGCCAAATCAAATTGTCCTCTCAGAAACCAAAAGGTTGTAGATATGATGATGCTTTTAAAGCATGGGCACTCAATTTGTACCACATCAGCGGGAAATCATATAGATTTCTTGCTAAATTGTTCCATTTACCTACCAAAAGAACTCTCACTCGAATGGTCTCTAGATTTGCATCTGAAGCTGGTTTCTCAGAGAAATCTCTTTATGTGGTAAAGGAAAGGATAGCTTCAATCCCTGAAAGTGCAAAGATATGTTCTCTTATGATGGATGAAATGTCTCTAAAGAGTCATCTTTTCTATGACATATCTAATGACCACATTGTAGGTTTGGAAGATTATGGTAGTGGAGAAAGTTCAGGTCTTCCTGCCACTTCTGCACTTGTTCTAATGGTCAGAGGTGTCCTTTTCAACTGGAAGCAGCCAATTGCATATTTTCTTGTAAATGAATCAAGTGGAAGTAGCCAGTTGAAAAAAATCCTTGCTGAAGCTCTAAATAATTTGGAGTCATTGGGTTTAGATGTTGTTTCTGTTGTGTCTGATCAGGGTTCTAATTTTTTAAAATTGTTTAAGACACTTGGTGTCACTGAAGATCGTCCTTTCTTTTATATGCAAGGAAAGAAGTATTTTACAATATTTGATCCTCCCCACCTTCTGAAATCTGTCAGGAACAACTTGATGAAATATGATGTTGGATTTGATGGGAAAGTTGCAAGCTGGAATGACATAAAATCCTTCTTTGAGAAAGACCAGAAGCTACCAATCAGGGTTGCTCCTAAACTGACTGACAGGCATTTAAACCTAAATGGGTTTTTGAAGATGAAAGTTAAACTTGCATCTCAAGTTTTTAGCCACTCTGTGGCTGCAGGTATTTCCACTTATGTGGCATTAAATGGTCTTCCAGACACAGCTCTTGGCACTGCACAATTTGTTTCTCAAATGGATACCATCTTTGATTGCTGTAATTCACTTAGTTTCCGGGATCCAAAGTTTTGTCGCAGGCCTTTCTCTCCTACCTCTCCACATCTGTCAGAGCTAAAAAAAGGAATAAGGTTCTTCTCATCCTTAAAATTTTTTAACAGAGCCACAGGTGAAGATCGAACAGACAATTTGAAGTGTTTGACAGGTTGGAAAGTCTCTTTAAAGGCTATTTTGTCCCTGTGGGAAAAATTATACCATGAAGGTATTGCATCTTTTTTAGTTACCAGGCAACTAAATCAAGATCCTCTTGAAAACTTCTTTGGCTCTATAAGACAGCAAGGTGGTAACAATGATAATCCTACCCCTGTCCAGTTCAAGAGGGCTTACAGAAAGCTTTTTCACTCAAATTTGCTACATGTTGCCAGTGGCAATTGTGAGGAAGACAAAGATGAGCCTCTAACAAACTTATCTGTCCTTAATGAAATTGCACGCAATGATATCCACTTGCAGTCTAATGCATTGCAATTAATATCACCAGACTACAGGACAGATAATATTCAGAGCCATATTATAAGTGAAAATGCTATCGCCTATGTGGCAGGCTACTTACTGAGGAAAACATTTAATAAACATAAATGTGATACCTGTGAAAAGGCTGTGGTGAATGATACCACTAACAACATCAGACATACTTTTCTGCACTTTAAATCTTATGAAGCAAATTCCTCTTCTCATGGAGGACTGATAGTGCCCTCTGAAAGTATGCTCCAGTACGTTGTTGAATTGGAAGATCAATTTGTAGGCTACTTTTCCAGCCTAAAGAAAACAAAAGGAGTTGGAAATGAGCTTCTTGACATCCTGGATAGAGTCACTCTTCAACAACCATGTGCTTCATTTGCAAAAAAATATCTTCTTATGTTATTTATTAGAATGCGTATATATTATTGCTTAAAATTTGCAAACAGAGAGTTAAAGTCATCAAAAAGAAAGAATAGAAAATATTTAAAAATAGTCCATCTGTAGATCAGAACTTCTTTGCATCTTCACAAAGCCTTACATTATTTGAATTCTTAACACCATTATCCTATGCCATATTATATTTTCTTTTATCAGTTATCTTTTGGGTATGCAGGTTAGGTCAATGAATCTAACAAAGGAGACCTGAGGTGCCTCCTTCCCTCTGCTAGCCTTGGGGTTGTACTGTGGGCAAGTGCAAACTACCTCTTTAGCCTCCCAAGCCAGGGTAACGGTGAAGAAAATCATCCATGACCCATTTGCTTTTTAAATTGTTTCCTTTAACTTTAAATAAAACCTTTTATTATCTTGTACCAATTAAAAGATTTAAAAAATTCACTAACAACAGTTTTCCGGTCTACAGCTGACACACTGACGACATTATGAAATCATAAATGTTACTAGTGTTTGTTCTAGCTGTACTGATGAGCCCTGACATTGGGCGAAACTGGGAAATTTCTTGCCTTCATTCACCAGGGGCTGGGCCAAAGAAAGGGCCATGCCCCTTTCTTTTTAGAACAAGATACCATGTTTGTTAATGACTAATGCTAACCATATCATATGGGCCCTCCACTTCTACTAGATGATAGCTCATCAATTTTAGAATAAAGCGTGCGTGGAGTGAAATATTGTCTAGAATTTAATAATTTTTGCAAAGCTAAATAAACTTTCGCTTCAAGGGTCATCGTCCTTCTTCATATTTTATGCTCATCGTTGTTTGTGTTGTTCCTTTCTTGGTGATATCGTTATATTTCATCGCATCGGACGGAGCATGAATTGTATAACACAATTAAGCTAGAATTCGCTAAAATTTAAAAAATCATCGAAATTTAATCACAAATGACATACCTCGTGCTTTCTGAATGATCCCATGCCATTTACCAACTCAATTTCAAACTTTAAAAACCCGAAGCTTCTACGCGCGCTGTTTTCTTTGGTCGCCATTCTGAACGTTACCTCGGAACCGCGAAATTGAAAACGAGTTTAGAGGTGGAGAATGTCAGGAATCCGTGCCCACTAAACAACAAAGGTGCCGACGCGACTGTCCCTTCTGCCTTATTTCTATTCTGTGGCTTCATGCTGGGGCTTATCTTTTGTAGTTTCCTGCAAAGTCTTTATTATCTCGGTCAGTGTTGTGCTACAAAAGCCCATCTGCACCCGTTTGCACAGCTGCAACTTCAAATCAAGTTCACATCAATTGATTATGTTTTATTATCGATATAAATCCGATGAACATTTTTTTCAATCACTAGTTACTGGCCAAAATGCGCTAAATTCAGTGCTTCTATCAGAGTTTTTTTTTATTTCACAGCTAAATCGTTTATTAGGCGTGCTTTCTTCACATCCTTTCAGACCATTTCCTTAAATTGTTTATTCTTCAGTACAGCTGTTCAGAATTTTTTTATCGGTAGCAGAATTGCTGCCTTCGTTTTTTCATTGTTTATTTATTTTGAGAATTTGGCTATAGATGTCCTTTGATAATGCTATTTTGATTACTAGAAATTTCAGTCACTTCTTCTTTAATTTTTTCATTTCGAGTTGGATGTTGCTTGCATTTGTTCTTTGTTTGATATTTTTCGACCAAGATTTAATCATCGACCAAGTTACCTAATTTGTATTCGATTTCGTCATTGAAAGCTGTTTTCTTCTTCATTGTTGCCCGAAAAGTATCTTGGACAATCAAGCAGAGGAAAGCAAAAGCGAAGTTAGCAGATGTTATCTAGTAAAGATTCATACTTGGAATCTCTGAATAAAATTACCATACGAATGGAATTCGGTTTTTATAAAGAAAAACTCCTGAGAAAATTGTAGTTTGTAATAAATTAGCTCATTTGTTGAAGATATGAATTTGATGGCATGGCCTGCCATCAAGAATTTGTGTCTTCTTAGCATGTCCGGTAATAGCATGCGAACAAAAGGGGCAGAGATCAGGGAACCAAAGTACGATATTGTATTCAGAACAACAGTTTTGACAGAATTCTTTACGAATGTAAACACAATAACTGTGTAATTTTAGCTTATTCTCGTTTCAATATTTCTACTTTGTTTTTTTCAACGTCATATAATAATACGATATTGACGCGGATGTTTAGCTTAAATTTGGAAACTCCATGGTTGCTGTTAAAAAGTTCTTTCAGGTTTTTAAAATGCTATCTCACCTATCCATTCTTTCAAATCAGAATATAATCTTTTGTTCTTGCAAACCTAAATTTTTAAAGAAAACATGGCGTGTTAAAAATTCTAATGAATAATGCAATAACTCATGGTGTACCTCTTGCTCAGAATTTCAAAACATTTTATCTGAAATGGCCTGCTGTTTGAATTCTGCAGAGATTGTTTGTCATTTTTTGCTAGATGGAAAGTTCTGGTGAAATCATTGGTATGCATTTTGTGCATGAAGCTGTTTATTTTATCCTAATATGGTCGTTTGTTGAAAGGTCATTTCTTGAGGTATTGCTACTGGCACACAGTTGTCGAGGTTTCGGAAACAGTAAAGGTTGATCGTTGAAATCCAGCAGGTTAAACATCAGTTTCACTAATCTATCCTTGCAGAAATATGATGCTATTAATTTACTTAAAGAATAAAGACCCGATAAAGATTTGCCTTTTTTTTATTTCAGACAATGCAAAGTTTGCAAATATTTTAATTGAGCATCAGCCTTCCTGTTTGCTTATGCTTATTGCTAGTGAAGCTGAGTGAAGACTCCTTTCTCAGTGCGTTGAATAGATTGTCAAGTGCTTTTCTCGTATTTGGTATACCTGCCTGGCATCCACACTGTTGGCAAATACGCTTGTCTTAG